TAGCCGTAAGGGTCAAACGACCCTCAAGGCCATTCGGCGTTGAAGGTCAAATTGTTTCAACGGTCAAACGACTTGAGACCTCAGCCCAGAAACATCATTAAGGGTCGTTTGACCCTCGATAAACATCCCTAAGGGTCATTTGACCTTCAAAACCATTTGGCTGTCCAGTAGAAACGAACGAATTTGAAGGTCAAATGGCCCTTGAGGTCGTTTGGAGTTGAGGGTCAGGGCCGCCTCAAGTGTCAGAAAACATTGTTCTTTGAAAATTGAATTCTCTAAAAAAAAATTCAGGACATTTTTTCCCTCCAGCCCCTCTTCCCCGAGCTAAATCCACTCGTCCCTTTGCGTTTTTTCCCTTCACACCGGAATTGACTCAGCAATAATTTACAATAATAATTTCTCCTGCTCGACTATCACACCAGTATCAAATGGACAACGATTGACCGTTAGTCCCTCACAGAGTGCGTGACACACGTAAGTGTACACGACATCACAACAGCTCGATTTAAGGATCGTTCCGGAATTCAATACGGCCAACGAACTTGTCGAGTCAATAAAACCTCAGTCGTACTCGCTCGTGTGTTACATTCATAGCGATGATTGATAATCACGTATGATTATAGTGACGAGTGCTTGGAAATTCGATTGACGAGTCTAGTTGGTGTAAGTGTGTCAACTGCAGTGAATTGTGGAAGGGAGGAAAAACAATAGGATAATCATGGCGGGTGTTGATAAGCGAGGGAGATTGAACCCATCCGTTTTGGCGAAATACGACTGTCATCGAGCTCTCAACCCTCAGGTAGAACTAATTACTGACGAACAGTGATCGAATGACGATTGAGATTAGATTTTAATGAACATGTTTGATAATGTGAGGCTTTCAGGCACCACTCATGAGATGAATCGGTAGTCGGACAGTTTTTCCCCGGACAAAATTTCCCCGGACAATTGCTTTTTGCGAAATTTCCTCGAAAAAATTCCTTTCAACGAGTCTTCTGGGGGGTAAATTTCCCGCAAATAACAATCCGTATGAATTTAATTCTTCTGTAATTTCATTGAGGCTGAAGACTCGATAATTTCATGTGTTTTATTGTGCGATTCAGTAATAAAAACCCCTTTAATTGAGCATTATCGTTATATTTATTTTGGCCGGATCCGGTTTCCTAATCGCAAATTCCTTTTTCAGGGAGATTCTATTCGAGGAAATTCTTTTTCGGGGAGATTTTGTCCGGGGAAAAACTGTCCTAGAATCGATGAATCAATTAATTATGGGCTAAATTGTTATTATTATTATTCTGTTTAAGCATTAATTTCGCGTATTTGAGGATTGAATAGACGAAGCGACAGAATCCCCTTCATTCACTTCATTTTTCATTCAAATAATATTGTTCTCATATTCCGCAACAATTGAAACGATTTATTGGAGCTGTTATTGAGTTAAAGTAGCTCTAACCTTCGCTGGGTTACGCTGTACTTTTGGATATTTTCAGTTTTTCAATTTTTCAACTAATGAAAATGTTTGATAATGTGAGGCTTTCAGGCATCACTCATGAGATGAATCAATTAATTATGGGCTAAATTATTATTATTATTATTCTGTTTAAGAATTCATTTCGCGTATTTGAGGATTGAATAGACGAAGCGACAGAATCCCCTTCATTCACTTCATTTTTCATTCAAATAATATTGTTCCCATATTCCGCAACAATTGAAACGATTTATTGGAGCTGTTATTGAGTTAAAGTAGCTCTAACCTTCGCTGGGTTACGCTGTACTTTTGGATATTTTCAGTTTTTCAATTTTTCAACTAATGAAAATGTTTGATAATGTGAGGCTTTCAGGCATCACTCATGAGATGAATCAATTAATTATGGGCTAAATTATTATTATTATTATTCTGTTTAAGAATTCATTTCGCGTATTTGAGGATTGAATAGACGAAGCGACAGAATCCCCTTCATTCACTTCATTTTTCATTCAAATAATATTGTTCCCATATTCCGCAACAATTGAAACGATTTATTGGAGCTGTTATTGAGTTAAAGTAGCTCTAATCTTCGCTGGGTTACGCTGTACTTTTGGATATTTTCAGTTCTTCAATTTTTCAACTAAATTGCATGGAAAAAATTGGAAAAAAGTCATACCCAGTCAGTATTATCTAGGGGAGGGTAGGGTAAAATGGACACTTTTGATTTTTTTAAAAATATTCGTAACTCAGAAACCGATTTATCAATTGAACTCAGTCTAAGCTCATCACAAAGAGGAATCATTGTTTTTCAATTGAAAAATACAATTTTTCCATTTCATGAATAATTCAACACGTCATGAATATTTCAAAAAAAGTAAAAAATGTCCGTTTTACCCTACCCTCTCCTAAATTAAATTTCGCAAAATATTGATATTTTTTCAAGCATCCAAACGAGCTTCGAAAAACGCTGATCCGCAAATAAACTCGCGAGGAAGTGCCGTTTGAGGTTCATAGACACTGAATTGATTCATTGGCATGCGAGTGAGGTATTAGGAAGTGCCATGAGCGTTCTGGGTGTCAATGTGGCCTTAATTGGCGACTCAGCGAATAGACGATACGTTATGTGCACTCTCGTCTTAATTCGCTCGAGTAATTCTAACGCTAGCAACTTGTTCAAACGTTTTCGTGCGAATGCAAAATTGAAATTCCACGAAATTCATCAAGTGGTGATAACAAAACCCATTCATTTGATTTGAGTAAAGTTTGAATTGAAGTATTAAATTGAAATGAACGATTTTTCTTGGGTTTAATTCAGTAGCGCAGCGGTAAACCGGGTTAAGTCGATTTTTACTTTTGGCCATTTTTTGATGAATATCTCGGAATCTAAGAGAGATAGCAAAATTTTGCTCGTGACCTTTTTTGTAACCCTTAGCCCTGATGTTGTAAAAATGCCGAGGTATTAGTGACGAGGTATTAATTGAGTACACAGTTCCGGCCCAGCCGATAATTAATGTAATTAGCGCTAACGATTGGCGATATTGATGCGCAATACACTTTCTTCGCCCACAGAGTTGGACTCAGTCGACGGGCCGTTCATTAGACACGTAAAAAAAGATCCAGAATTTATGTTCGACAAGTGGAATGATAAGTGAGAGGGATGTTTAAGGGTATCCGAGTGGGATTCGCTGGGGGGAAATTCATTTGGTAAAATTCAGGAGCGAAGCAGTAAACTGGGTTAAGTCGATTTTAACTGTTGGCCAGTTTTTGACGAATATCTCGGAATCTAAAAGAGATACAAAAATTTTTCTCATGACCTTTTTTGTAGAGCAAATTGAGAGCTACAAAAAAGGAAATTACAATAATTTCGCCATTTCCCTTAGATTCAGAGATATTTATTGAAAACTGGCCACTAGTCGAAATTGACTTAGGGGAGGGTAGGGTAAAACGGACATTTTTGACTTTTTTTGAAATATTCATGACGTGTTGAATTATTCATGAAATGGAATAATTTTATTCATGCCTCTAGGGATGGAAAACCGCGATTTAACCGAGCGAAGCGACGTTAAATCGCGGTTTTCAGTCCTCGAGGCATAAAATATCGTGTGCCACACGGCAGTAAAAGTATTTTCATCACGCTGTGACGAAAAGTGAACTTTTCGGCACGCTCCGCATGCCTAAAAGTCCAATTTCCGCCACATTGTGATGAAAAATATTGTTCGTAACTCGTGAAAAAATGAATAAAAAATACTTTTATATGATACGTGCGTGTAACCGCATGGGTTTCAGTTGACTATAGTCAACTGAAACCCGAAATAACGCATGACGCGCATGCGCATCACCTATTAAAAGAGAATAACAAGGAAGGAAATCTAACCTCCGAATAGTGAATACATGGAATGACTGAAAAATGAAAAGGTGATTTTCGAAGCAGATAAAATGAGCCAAAATCGTATAATTCCTGATAGTGATGAAGAGTTAGGCAGTGAGGAGAATTTATTTACTGATGAGGAGGAGTTTATTGGTGATGTGACATTTGAAGAAAATGGAAATAAAATATTCTCCGATTTTTCAATTACGTTTTGTATCATATTTTTTTATAATTATAACTTTCTTTTTTTTGCGAATTCTTAATGATTTTTAAAAATTGTATTTTGTAATAATTATAATTAATTTTTTTCAATTAAAAATACTTTACAAGTTTTTTGAACTACATATTTAATGAATATAATTAATTTTTTCTTCAGAAGTTCCGCATAATTTTTACATCACACTTTTTTATAATTATTTTTTTAAATAAATGTGATCTTTTTTCTTCAGTGGGGGCCCCCAACCGGGGGCTTCGCCCCCTGGACCCCCTTTTCTCGTGGGGGGCTTCGCCCCCCCCCTCCGCCCCCAGACTTCATCACGCACTTATCATATAAAATAGTATACACAACACGTGCGGACAGCAGGCGGTCTCAGGTCAGGCTGCGCCGCCCTCGTGAGTAACCGCCTGCTTTCCGCACTAGTTACGTAATGTACTATTTTGCACTCGTTACGAAATATACTATTTCTGACTCATGTGATTTATACCCCTCGCCTTCGGCTCGGGTTATAACGTCACATTCGTCAGAAAATCCTTTTACTCCCTAGGGGCACAATATACTATTTTCAATTGAAAAACAATGATTCCTCTTCGTGATGAGCTTAGACTGAGCTCAATCGATAAATCGGTTTCTGAGTTCCGAATATTTAAAAAAAAGTCAAAAGTGTCCATTTTACCCTACGCTACCCTATACCGGTTTGCCACTTCGCTACTGAATTCAGATGAGCCAAACAAAACGTTTCTCTGGCTGCCAAATTTCCCCGAAAATCGAATCCCCGATGAATTCTCACCCCCTCAGGGCAGAACCGGTTCCACTTGCCCTGTGGCGACACCACGAGGCTACCTCCAACTTCACTCTGCCCCCTCCTCCTCCCCCCCCCTTCGGAATCATTTCTGCACGAACTCCCCTGCCTGTACGAGTTTCCCCCCACTCTGTCTCACATCTGCGTCAGGCGTGGTCGTTAGTTCGGGTCGAGTGTGTCGTTTGAGAGCTAGTGCTTGTAACACTGGATCAAAGCATCTCCCACCCCATTTCCTCAGTAAAACTCAAACATTGAGCGAAAAACAGTCAATTTCGGGATAAATTTTGTGGAAAATAGGCAATAAGTTTTGTGAAAAAACGCATCGGCGAGAGATATTGCTGACAACAATGAGCCGAGTGCGAGGTTTCGTGGCTGGTTTGGCCGGTTCGACGTGAATCATCGCCCGGCGTAATATCCCACCAGATCCGAGAGAGAGAGAGAGAGAAAAAAGTTACTGAGACATTAATGAACCCGTGAATTGATTAGTTTGTGATAACAGTGGGTGATTGTGTTGTTTCGTTGTTAACGAAAGGCAGGAGTGGCGAAATTTCTTTGATAGAGCGATGGTAAATTGATTATCAGTTGGGGGGTGATAAGAGGGCTGGTGATAAGGAGGTTTTAGAGGGGTGAGGGTCTTTGTTGGTTCAGTTTCTTAATTTGTTTTCGATAGTTTTGTCCCTCAGTGAATTAAAATTGGGGTTCCAGTTTTTTTGTGGGTAACGAGGTTGAATGGTCGATTATTGTATTGAGTAGAGCTTGTTTATTGACTTGATTCGCATACTAGAGACGAAACAATTGATATTGAGATGATTTTTCAGAAGTGAAGTGGTGAAGTGGAGACTCAATCCGCAATAGCTCGGGAACAAACGATGCGAATGGGATGATTTTTTTTTCAGTTTGAGTGGTGAAAGGAGAGCTTTAAAATGAGTTGAGAATTGGCGAATTTCACTCTGCCAATCCTGAGATATCGATGATTGAAAGAGGATCGTTTTTGCTTCACTTTCATTCAATCGACGTTATCTTTGGATTGGTTTTTTCAAAATATCTGGGAATCTCGGAGAGATGGGAGAATTTGTGCCGGGAACTTTTTGTAGCTCTCGCTCTGCTCTACAAAAAGTTCTTGATACAAATTCCGCTATCTCCCTTCGGTCCCGAGAATTCCCCAAACAACTGAACTCTGAAAACTCCATTTCCCTTTTCTCACCACTTCACTTCTGAATTCCCCCGTCACCCACAAAAATGATCGAAAAATACACAGATATGAGCCCCCCGCGTCTCCAGTCCCGGATCTCAGCGTGAAGAAGATAAAAATAAGAGCAAAGACTCGAGCCAGAAAAAGACTAGAGAAAAAAAAAATTGAAAACCGAAAGGAAGCGATAAAATGTCAACCGAGAATCATAACGGTGGCCATGCGAATGGCGCCATAAAATCGCCGATTGGTCTCGCATCGACAGTTCCAACAACCACACAATCAACAACATCAACAACAAGAACTCTCCCGAACAATGCGTCATTCTTGTACTCGAGCAATTCATCGATAAATCGTGATAAACCAAGACAGGTGCCGCCACCAACATTGCCAAAGTATACGTCGAGTTTTAGCACTGGAACCAATGGAACAACGGACAGATTAACGAGGGATCGTGAGTCGGGGGGAAGTTACAGACTTGCGAGTCTCGATAGACTTGCATTGAGGCACAGAATACTCGATGGTGGAGAGAAACAAAACGGCGATAGTGGAAATGCGGTAAGATAATTTTGGTTGAAGCGATGAAGATGAGTGGAGGTCCCGATATCCAGATGATTTGAATGATTTATAAATCGTTGACTCCACGGAACTCCTCGAGATGTCGCTATTTCGAATGATCTTGTAATTGTCTTGTCGGTAATTTATTGATTTAATTGGATGTAAGAAAAGAAAAAACCCTGGGAAATGGTTTGTTTGAATCAAATAAATTGATTTATGGAAACATTGAATATATTTTTATTTGCGTTTATGTTCAGATGAAATGAAGAGTCCTTGAAGGCGAATTATTTCAGGAGCGAAGCGGTAAACCGGGTTAAGTCGATTTTAACTGTTGGTCAGTTTTTGACGAATATCTCGGAATCTAAAAGAGATACAAAAATTGTTGTCATAACCTTTTTTGTAGAGCCAACTGAGGGTTATAAAAAAGGTCATGAGCAAAATTTTGCTATCTCTCTTAGATTCCGAGATATTCATCAAAAAATGGCCAAAAGGAAAAATCGACTTAACCCGGTTTACCGCTTCGCTACTGATTTTATTGCTCATTCTTAGGAGAAATGTATGTAATATCAATTTGAGGAGATGCGAAAAATCGCCGGGGATTGGGTTTGAACACACTGATAGACTGACTCATTTATTCCAAACGAGATTCGTTAATAGTTGACGAATGGTTCACTTTGTTGTGTGAGGTAGAATGGACGAGTACAATGGACTCAAACTTCAGTGTTAAGATACTTGAATTTACTTTATTTCTTAGTCAAAGTGTAACGGTAAAAATACAAAAGAATTAAGATTAATTCCCAAATGAACTACATTGGTAATGACTCCCGAGTGCAGTGTGTTCTCGGTTTTTATGAGAAAACCGTGACACACATTTGTCTCTTTTTCGTTGTATTCGTATTACAAGACGATCCCGTGGTGTAATACGATGCTGAATCGGTAAACAATCGATAAACAGTTAATTTCATAATTATTAAACACGAATCACTTCGTAATTCGGTCATGGAATATTCTGGATTACAACAACTTGAAAAATGAAAATCGGGTCAAATAAGGCACTTGAGGAGACGAAATCGAGTCCTCAGTTGTACATTTGTTGACTGTTAACTAGTGAACGTTTGGTGAGGCCAAACAGACCCTCGTCTCCAACCAAATCCATTCGTTGAGAATAACTAATTCTTTCTATCAGTGCACACGACCATTGGGTTCCCAGTCTGAACCTTCACACCCATGGCTATCCACTGGATACAGTTCGTCAGACGAAAAAAAATGTCTCCTTGATCCAAATAAAGGCTTTATTACTTGGGAATTGAATCATTGTTCAGATATGTCGAGGAGAACGATTTCATTAACCGGTAATAATCCTTTATTTCGATTGTTTGGGGAGAACAAATTATTTATTTCACACAATGACAACATTTTCATTGGAATAAACAAGAGTTTATAAACTTGCAATGAAAATATTGCTGAACTGAACAGAAAAATTGCAAGTGGAGAGTTTTATTTGATTCAAATGCGTCATTTCTCCGGGTGTATCCACCCGATTTCATCCCGTTGGAGTTCAAAATGACAGTGATTTCGTATATAAAATAGCCCTCTGGTATTAAAAATTGTGAAGGTCTCGATGGAGATGTGAAAGTGCGAGTTGAGGGCCACTGGGAGAACACATGGCCTCCCTTGTGCCAGAACGAGGGGCTCAGTGGGGGTGAGCTCACCCTTCCGAAATTTCCGAGGGTAGAAAACCTTGGGGATACACATTTCTTTCCAATTGCGTTGTTCCATCGTGAGGAATAATCCTCCCTGAAATGATAGAAATAAGGAGAACGGTTGAAGTCAGTGATGAAAGGGATTTTTGCAAAAAGAATTTAGAACTGTATTTGAAGTCCCAAGTTTACTCGAGGGACTGCGGGCGACAGCTCATCATTTTTCCTTCGCAATTAATTTTTTTTTCATCACATGTTTGAATTTCACTTCAGTTGAGACCTTGAACTTGACCCATTCCACGTGAAGAAAACGTCTTTGGCGGATGGAAAAGTGAATTTTCCTTTTTATTCTTTCAACTTGATAATTAATTCAATTCGCATTAATAATCGTGAGTCGCCGAGGGTTTTTTTATGGTGACAAACGGTCGGAGAATTTTACATTTTGTGGACATTTTAGTTAGGGGGAGACTACTGTGAGTTTTAAATGTCGTGGGTTATTGGAGTGAGACTTTTCATACGTTTAAAATCGATTATGTAGATCTGAAAACGAATAATTAGCGCAAAAAAAACTTTTTTTTATTGTTCGTTTGCCCGAAAACGCTTAAAATGGCAAAAACACTCCAGGACCTCCAATTTTTGAGCTACGAATGTTTTTTTTTTCTCAAAATTTTTGGAAAGTTATGTGGAATAACAATTACGAGCTATTTTTTTTTAATTCACCTCTTACAAGGCTAAATTTGCTTTTTTTACACAAATAGTTAATTTTTTTATATGAAAAAAAAAGAAATCAGCTGTGTAGGAGTCTAATTCCAAAAAACTGGCTCGTAATTGTTGTTCCACACATCTTTCCGAAAATTTTGAACAAAAAAAATCTTTTGTAGCTCAAAAATTGGAGGCCCTGGACTGTTTTCAGCATTTTACACGTTTTCGGGCAAACGAACAATGACAACAATTTTTTTTGCACTAATTACTCGTTTTCAGATCTATATAATCGATCTTCAACGTACGAAGAGTCTCACTCCAATAACCCACGACTTTTAAAACTCACAGTAGTCTCCCCTTAATTTATCGTTAAAAAAAACGAGAAAAATAACAAGTTTTGCCGATTGATCTTCCACAATAGTTCGTATTTGTTCTATTCACAATTGCTGCACTCTGATACCGGAGGCCTTGACGAAAGTCTTGGGTTACAGTCCTCGCGGCACGGATCCTTGGCGATACTGTCTCGTATTTCTCGTTTTTTCTAATTTTGTATCCAGTATACTCTCCACAATTCCAGAGTAACACATGTCGGTGAGGCCATAAAGCTATTTTATCTCTCGAGTGTTTCAACTTGACGACTGGAAATAACACATTTCTCTGAACGTGGGTGGATGGACATTTTGTGGAGAATTTTGAATAAAAATAGGGTGATTCTGTAGAACGTGAAAGCCCGGGGGGGGGCGTCACCACCGAGTGTTAAGAAGCTTTTATGAGGGAGGGAAGAAAAGATGAGACTGAAAGAGAGTATACGGGTCATGTCTCGCATGCCCTCTCCTTCATGCACTGTAACCACACGAGAGTTCATGAAAGGTTATTCATCGGGGACTTTGTCAGCATCTTTTCTTGGCTGAGAACTGGACGAAGCGCGTCGCGTGGAAAATGACAAGTTTACAAGTTTTCTGGATCAACAGAATATAATAAAATGACTGAAGAATTATCCGGCAATTTTTTCAAACCACTAACTGAATCCATACATGCAAAAAACAAGTTTTTTTTTTTTTTTTTTTTTTTTTTTTTTTTTTTTTTTTTTTTTTTTTTTTTTTTTTTTTTTTTTTTTTTTTTTTTTTTTTTTTTTTTTTTTTTTTTTTTTTTTTTTTTTTTTTTTTTTTTTTTTTTTTTTTTTTTTTTTTTTTTTTTTTTTTTTTTTTTTTTTTTTTTTTTTTTTTTTTTTTTTTTTTTTTTTTTTTTTTTTTTTTTTTTTTTTTTTTTTTTTTTTTTTTTTTTTTTTTTTTTTTTTTTTTTTTTTTTTTTTTTTTTTTTTTTTTTTTTTTTTTTTTTTTTTTTTTTTTTTTTTTTTTTTTTTTTTTTTTTTTTTTTTTTTTTTTTTTTTTTTTTTTTTTTTTTTTTTTTTTTTTTTTTTTTTTTTTTTTTTTTTTTTTTTTTTTTTTTTTTTTTTTTTTTTTTTTTTTTTTTTTTTTTTTTTTTTTTTTTTTTTTTTTTTTTTTTTAAGCCCGGTGGCTTGGTGCAGTGGGTAGGTTCGTTGCCTCACATGCGAAAGATTCCGAGTTCAAATCCCGGCCGGGTAGAATGGTGCCATTTAAAGTCTTGATCATCATCACAGTATACCCTATCCGGGTCGAAGCGATGTAAAATAACGATAAAAAAAAATTATTATTTTTTAAAGAAACAAAAAATCCATGAATTCCGCCGATTTTTGTGTGATTAATAATTTGGATGAAATTTCTCAAGCTGAAAAATTGTTTTGAAGGCGAAAAAATATTTTCAATTTGGAAATTACTTCCGTTTCAACATTTTCTGCAACACCACAAAAATCTGCGTAATTCAGTCCGCCCCGTTTTTGCGCTTGTGGCACGTGTACTGAGGGACCCCTCTTCCCTTTGAAGGGAGAGACATTATAACTCAAGCTAGAGGGTATGAATTGGGTTACACGAGTGTGGGCCAAAGTACACGGTGGAGTTGCTTGTTACCTCGGGAGAACGCTTACGTGAGTCACAAGTCGGGGCGGGAGTTATATCGAGTTACAATAGGCTGTTGATCACTCGATATTAATTCGAAGTGATGTGGGACGCCCTATAGAAATTAATTCTCAAGTCTTTAAAGTTCAATTGTTCACGGGAAATTCCTTTTTTCTTACTTTTTTAGGGTGTGAATTGCTCTGAAGGGGGAGGGAGTTTTTTATCGTCCACGGGATCAACAATTTACGATTGATGTTGATTAGATGGATTATTATTAATTTTGTTGTGGTGAACTGACAATTCACCACGGGACGAGACAGGGGGAGGGGTCAAGAGGGTCAAACGGGGGAGACGAACGAGTGGGACGAAATGGGAGAGACGAGTGGAGTGATGACTTCGCTGGTCTCTCCCATTAGACCCTTGAGAACGTTTGACCCTTCTGATTACTCTGCTCTACTCTCCCGTTTAACCCTTGAGAAAATTTGACCCTCCACCTGTCTCTCCCGTTTGACCCTGAAGAGCATTTGACCCTTCATCATTTTTTTAAGTAAATACAGATGGAAAAAGCAATTATCTGAATTCCGCTCTACATTCGTTTTTGCTACTGTTCCACTTTGCCCCGCGCTCCCTTTCTTGACCTTCATGTAATCTTTATATAAGCGAACGGTAGCGAATTTATTTGTTTAAGGGTCAAACGGGAGAGACGAGCGAAGTGATCAGAAAAATCAAACTTTCTTGAGGGTCAAATGGGAGAGACAGGGGTCAAGTGGGAGAGACAGAGGTCAAGAGGGTCAAACGGGGGAGACGAACGAGTGGGACGAAATGGGAGAGACGAGTGGAGTGATGACTTCGCTGGTCTCTCCCATTAAACCCTTGAGAACGTTTGACCCTTCTGATTACTCTACCCTTCCGTTTAACCCTCAAAAAAATTTGACCCTCCACCTGTCCCTCCCGTTTGACCCTCTGCACTATTTGACCCTCCATATTTTTTTGAGTAATACAGATAGAAAAAAAGGTGCCTGAATGCTTTTTTGGGTCAAAAAAAAAAAAATTAAAAAATCTCATTTTTGGAGAATTTATTCCATTACGAAAGCGTCAATCACTCGGAGATTCCGAAGGATTGCTCTCGGGCCGTCACATATCCAACGTAAAAGGCACATTCACGTGTTCAGAAAGAGTGGATCACACTCGAGAAACTGTCTGTCAGGCGATTTTAGGAAGTACAGGGTGTAATGTAGGTCGGTAATGCACACACAGTATGGAACACCGCCATTGATTTTCTGGGGATTGTTGGGCATGTGGGGTATACTTCTGATACATTCTACTTTCACCTCTTTTGTGATTTATGACACAACCAAAGGCCCTAGATTTTTCAGGCAGATTTTAACAATTTGAATTGGCTTTTCGTTCTGAATAATTATGTTGGACGTAAAATCAAGAAAATTCCAAAGTTCAAGCGAGTTTTCGGCATCTGAATGATGAATTATTCATTTTACTCGACAGTTTTTTATTTTCTGAACAAAATGGGATCGATTTCCGTCGATTAAAGTCTTCGGTTCTAAAATTACTGGTGAAATAGTAGGGGAATATAATGAAATCAAGACCTGTCATCTGAACGATTTTAGAACAAGGGATTTGAAACTGGTGCAATGGAAAATATTGATCTTTCAGTGTCGGTTGAGGATAAAATATCTATTCTATTCAATTAATAAAACGGAAAGAGTACTGTATTTTTTAATATAAAAATGAAAGAACATTAATTTTTTTATCTTTTTTAATTCTGCATTTAGCTGGTAAACTAATGCTTCTACAGGAAAATGTCACAATATCTTTTATGTTGCCCATAAAATTGTCTACAAAAAATGTCATATGATATTTCCTCCTAAAACCACTCATTACCAAAATAATTCAAGATTCTCGCTTGAGACACCGTAGCGTTCAGACGTATTTGTCAAGTGCTCTGTGCGGTATATAGTCAAATGGAGGTATNAATAAAAAAAAAAAAAAAAATAATTCAACATTTAACACACCAAGAATTTGGAGAACTCCAAGTTTCCAAAATTAAAAAAACTGTTTTTTAATTCAGTATTTATCTCATGAACGAGTGCTTCAACAGGAAAATGTCACAAGATCTTTTATGTTGTCCATGAAATTGTCTACAAAAAATGTCCTATGACATTTCCTCCTAAAGCCACTCATTACCGAGATAATTGAACATTTAATGAATGTAAAAGTTGGAATGTTAAAAATATCAAATGCCTCGTTATGTCTTCCAGATGCAAACAAAGCGAGAGTTGTTCTTTAAATCGGAAACAGGAGTGCTGACAACATCCCCATCAGTGCCATCAGTACCTCCACCCCAGCCCCCAGCAACTGGAATAACAACGTCGACAACAGTACCCCCAGCCACTGCTCCCCCAACAGCGCCCATAAAGCCGAGACTACCTCCAACAAATGTGACCTCGAATCAGACCGATGCATCTGAGGACAGCAACAAACGAGAATCCAGATATGACAGTAACAAAGAGGCCAGTGTGCAGTTGCATCCACGCCCAGCGATACCCACAAAGCCCAAAGAGCTCGATGGATATGTTGGCTTCGCCAATTTGCCGAATCAGGTCTACAGGAAAGCTGTCAAGAAGGGATTCGACTTTACACTGATGGTTGTTGGTGAGTACAAACCAACGTCATTTCCACGGAATTAATTAATCAATTCTCATTCGTTAATTAATGACCCAATGAAACTGGAAAAATCGACTTCATTTTGAATTGATCAGTTCTTCGGGAATATCTCAGGATTGGCTGAGTGAAATTCGACGATTTTTATTTCATTCTCAAGATATTTTTTCCATCTTTGAAATGAGTGGTGACTTATCCAAATCGCTTTGTTAGTTCAGAAGCTATTCAAGAATGAACAAAGACACTTTTAGTGCATTTCTGTCCACCACCGATTTTATAGCTCAAACTCAATCGCCGATATCTCCGGATCGGTAGAGTGAAAATTCCCGATTTTTTTTTCGTTTTTGGGATAATTTTGTGGTCTTCAAAATGAGCGGTGACTCATCAAAATTGTTTCATTTGTTCGGAGTATATGGGGGGTTGAATGAGACTGGTGGAATTTTTCGTGTGGCATTTAAAGAGCGAAGTTAAATTCAAATTCATACAGTTTCACTTACTCCCGTCCAAAATTAGCTTAGCTCTCTTTAGATGCGGTTGAACCCTAAATAGAGAAGTTCAAGTGCTTGCACTTGGTGGCCATATGTTTCGCATTCAGCTCGTTTGAATGCCCTTCACTCGATGGTTTCACTCGATGTATGAAATACCTGTGGGGCTTTAACTTGCAGGAGAGTCTGGTTTGGGCAAATCGACACTGATAAACTCAATGTTCCTGGCTGATATATACAGTGCAGAGTATCCTGGACCTAGTCTGAGAGTCAAGAAAACTGTTGCTGTGGAAACGACGAAAGTCTTACTGAAGGAGAATGGAGTCAATCTCACGTTGACTATTGTTGATACACCTGGGTTTGGGGATGCAGTCGATAACAGCAATTGGTAAATGATAATACTCACATCATATGACTAAAATCGACAGGTTTAAACCGTTCGTCAGTGGACGGAGTAGTTGAATACAATGGGAGAACAGAAAACAATTTGATTTATCAATTTTTTTTATTTTTGTTAATTGACCATTTATCCTGTGAGTCAGGTGTTCTAGGAGAAAATGTCTAAAGTCATTTTTTGTAGCTCATGAAATTGTCGATGAAAAATGTCTTTGGACGTTTCTACCTAAAACCAGTTGTGATGGAGATAATTCAGAAGCGAAGTCGTAAAACGGTTTCAGTCGAATTATCTCCCAGTTGAGTTTTTTACGAATATTTCCGAATCCAAGGGAGATAGCGAAATTTTCATAATTACATTTGTTGTAGCACTCAATCGGCTCTACAAAAAAGGTTGTAACAACAATTTTGCCATCTCCCTTAGATTCCGAGATATTCATTGAAAACTGGTCAATAGTCAAAAATGACATACTCTTTTACCACTTCGCTACTGAATTGAAGAATTGGGGAGATTTGAATAGCAAATTTTTCATTTTTGTCATTTCTGAATTCATTTTACAAACTAGGGGTTCTGGGGGGAAATTGTGAGAGCTTTACTGGGACATTTCATCGTCTAAAAAATGGCTCTAGTCATTTCTACTTCTCAAAATAACTTAAAAACTAATAAAATTCATTTATTTTTCCCCAATTGCAATTTTTTAAGGCCCGCGTGTATTATCTTTTGAACGTGATCTTCTTTTTTTTTATTTTGATAATCTGAAATGGTCTTCAATTGCCCTGGAGTCTTCAACAATTATGATTCTACAATAAAAAAAACGTTGAAAAAAACTGAACATTTTCAAAGAGCGTTTTTGAATGATATTAGTCTCAGTAGCCAATGTATGTCAGATCGTTAGTTGCGAACTTATTTCCTAATCTTTACTAAAAATGCTCTTTGAAAATGTTCAGTTTTTTTCTACTTTTTTTTATTGTGCAATCATAATTTTTAGGAACATCGACGTGATGTAAAATCCAATGTGATATATTTTGGATTATGAAGATGGCAAAACAATCGAGATAACGTTCGAACGATAATTCATGCGGTCCTTAATCTTTCAAATTTACGAGGAATAATAAAAATTCTGTGTTATATATATTATAATATATTAATATAATAATAATAATATAATATAATATATATTATATAATATATATATATTATAATATAATAATAATAACTATTATTATTATTAATATATTATATTATTATTATATTAATAATAATAATATAATATATTAATATAATAATAATAATATTTAATATTATAATATATAAGTTAATATATATCATAAAAAAATGTTAGGATTCATGTTGAAAAAAAATGAATGATAAATTATTTAAAAAAATATGTATTAATTTTTTGATTTCAGTTGGGTACCAGTAATCGAATACATCGAATCAAAATACGAGGAATTTTTGAATGCCGAGTCGCGAGTGATTCGACGACAAATACCAGACAGTCGTGTGCATTGCTGTCTGTACTTTGTATCGCCAACGGGTCATGGTTTGAAGCCACTCGACGTTGAATTTATGCAGCGGTTGCACGACAAAGTTAATATTATACCAGTCATAGCCAAGGCTGACACCATGACTCCGGACGAGTGTGCGCACTTCAAGAAACAAGTGAGTCACATGCATTTTTTTTTTTTTTTTTCATGAATAAACGAGTGAAAAATGGGATAAGTAATACAGTATTTGAAATGCACGTGATTTCCTTGCAGATACTCAACGAGATAGCACAGCACAAGATTAAGATATACGAGTTTCCGGAGGTGGAGGAGGAGGAGGAGAACAAATTGCATAAAGTACTGAGGGACAGAGTGCCATTTGCGGTTGTTGGGGCTAATACTGTTGTGGAGCATGAGGGAAAGAAGGTTCGGGGGAGGAAGTATCCTTGGGGTGTTGCTGAAGGTGAGGGGAATGCATTTTAGGAATTGAGAATTTCATTCGAATTGAAAAAAATTTTATTATACCCGGAGATACAGAGTACCCTGAGGGCAAGCCATTGTTTATGATTATTAATCTTTATTTGGAACTGAAATTAATTTTTATGGAAAAATTGAGGCCTTGGTAATTAAAATTCATTGGTTATTCAAAATTTCCAAAGAAATTCATGAGAAAATGCCATAAAAATGATTTTCAGGGGTTTCAATGACAAACCCACTCTTTACTCAGATAATTTTATTGTTAACAAGAGGTGAAAAATCGATTTTCAAAGTTTTAAATTTGTTTTTTTTTATTCTGGTGCTTTTACCTCGAAAATGGTGAGTTTTAGAAGAAAATGTTGAATGAATGATTTTTAGAGGTTGAAATTCCCTACAAAAAGTGTCTTTTGACATTTTTGTGCAGAACAACTCGGTTATGAGATAAATTCACACTGAACAAAAATGTAAAAATTGTTTCTTCCAAAAATTGGATTTTTATCTCTTTAAATCATCAATTATATTTAAAAAAATTATCAATTTTTAATTTTCAACATTTTCTTCAACACCTCAAAAGTCTCAACTTTTCCTCTCAGAACGAATCTTCCGTATGAATTTACAACTAGAAACAAAAAAATGCAAAACTTAATTTTTTTAAAAGGCAGATTTTTCTTCATTTTTAAAAGTATTTCATCATCTCGATAGTTGTGTTAGTGGAAAATATACGAAGAAATTTGTGCAGAGAATTTCATAAGTCTAACGTCTCCCAAAAAGAATTCTCGAAATCTAAATGATTTATTTTATTCTGTTCTAGTGGAGAATCTGGAACACTGTGACTTCATTGCACTGAGAAATATGGTGATAAGAACTCATCTCCAAGACCTCAAGGAAGTAACGAATAATGTACATTACGAGAACTTCCGCTGTCGCACACTCGCTGGACTAGGTGTCGACGGAAAACCCACGAGAATTTCGAACAAGTGAGTTGCTCTCCTAAATGAAACAATTAAAAAAACTCAATTTGATGAATAATAAAGTGAGATAAAGACGTTAAACGAGGGAATTTCCCATTTTCCCTTCAGTTTTTGACGAATATGTCCCTTCAATTATTCAATATTCATCAAAAACTGAGATATTGATGGAAAATAATTGACATAAAATCATCAAATCATCAATTTTAGAAGAACAAAACGATTTTGAGGGAAAATATTTCACATAAAATCGTTAAATTCCTGTTAAAACTCAAGATAAATAGAATTTCATGACTGAAATCGTGAAATTTACCTTCATTATTCATCTATACGATGAAATCCTCAGCAATTATCATCATCCATCCATTAAAAATATTCTCATCAATCGTCAACAATAAGTTGATGAAATAAAAATGAAAAATTAGTGAATGAAAAAAGCTTGAAAGTACGGAAAATCAGAAAAGAGTCGGGGACAAGCTTGTGCATGCAAACTCAACGAAAAAATACGAAAAAGACAATAGATCGAAGAGAATTGCAGCGACAATTAGCCCTAGAGAGTGGAATACTGTCTAGTACTTTGACTAATTCTCATGATAAAATTTTAATAGTTTATTTCTTTCGGTTAGTTTATGCCCACCAGGAGTGATGAACAGTTTCATGACAGTTTGGTAAGTTCTATATTATCCGAGGCTGCCAATTATCTACTGTTTTGTGTGCACAAGACTTATCAGTATTATTTCATTGAAATTCTTCTCCAAATTGAAATTGTTTCAATTTCACTATCTGAATTGCCAAATTTCTGGTGCAATGTGTGAGCCAGTTTCAGCATTAAAAAGGCACTGGGGTATGATTCCACGTACATATCTGCAGTAATTGATTCAATCGTGGAATTTTTGGACTTCATCGTCATCTGTTTTTGTAGAACATTAGTTGACGAGTGGTAAATCGTAATTAATTGAATTCCATGTTTTTTAATTACTGAATTATCTTGGAATTTGTTGATTTTAGGAGAAAATGTCAAAGGAATAATTTTTAGGGATTGAAATTTTCGATAAAAAATGTTTCTTGACATTTTTCGATAAAACCACTCTTTAATGAGATAATTTTATTGTTAACAAGAGGTGAAAGATCGATTTTTTAGTCTTAAATGTGATTTTTTCTGTCGCAATGCATTTATCTCAAAAATGGTTAGTTTTATGAGAAAATGGCATAAGAATGATTTTTAGGTATAGAAATTTCCTACAAAAAGTGTCTTATGACTTTTTGGGATAGAAGCACTCTTTACTGAGATAACTTCACTGCTGAAAAAGATGAAAGATCGATTTTTCAAACCCTTAAATTCGTTTTTTAAAATAATAATTAATTTATCTCGAATGGTTTGTTCCTCTTATTTCAGGAATCCCCTGGCACAACTGGAGGAGGAGAAACGTGAGCACGACAACAAAATGAAGAAGATGGAAACAGAGATGGAGCAGGTGTTTGAAATGAAAGTTCGTGAGAAGAAGCAGAAGCTTAAGGATTCAGAGGCAGACGTAAGTACTTCACTCGATTCCTCTTAGTAGACTACGTTTCAATGTTATCACTAATTTTATTAAAAAACTATCTACACTGTCTGAAGACAAGATGAATTTTCCACTTGTAATTGCAGTTGCAGAGACGACATGCCCAAATGCGTTCATCACTGGAGCAACAGTTGCGGGAGCTCGAGGAAAAAAGACGAGCATTTGAGGGTGAAAAACAAGTCTGGGAGCAACAAACTGGCCACAGTATTGATGAATTGCGCAGACGTAGCTTGGAAGCCAACTCAAAAGAGTGAGTATTCCTCCACTGACTAATCACCATTGCCAGTTGTGATTTCATCCCACATTTAGACTGTTCTGTTCTGTTGTTGTCCTACGTCTCGATATTCACTGGTTTCATCCGCAGGAGAGTTTCAATTTCATTTCCAATATTTTTTATTTTGTCATGTCAATGTTATCATCAATCAATGACAATGACCATTGAGATTACTAATGGATGTTCAATGTCTCTTCTGTATTTCCAATGCATGCGGCAGTTTATTCAACTTCCATAAAAAGCAAATGCTATGGGAATTGAGGAATATGTGAAAACGTTTTAATCTGTGGTAATGGATTATTCTTTTAAAGTTTATGAATTTTTTTTTCTCAATTTTTTTGGATTTTCTGGTTCAAGTATTCTTAGGGGAGGGTTTTGAGGAGAATCGAGTGTAACAGTTCGATATTTTTGAGAAATGTTATTTTACGTTTTATTGAATATTGAATTATGTCAGTGATGAGTGAGTCTAGAAGAAAATGTGAGGAGATATTTTTTGTTGGGAATTTTCTTCTCTTTGAGAAAGCTCTCTGACGTTTTCTCCTAAAATCTCTTTTTCTGGAGATAAATCGAGTATTCTGGGAGGGGAAAATCGAGAGCACTCGAATATCCTCAACAAAATGTGGGGCAAAATGAAACAATGGAAAAAACTATTTAGCACGATTCAGAAAACTTTGTCGAGGGTCAAGCGACCCTTAAGGACGGTGGAAATGAGCGCCAAAGGGTCTTAGGGGTCGAGGGTTGAATGGGTCATTTGATTCTTGAGTGAAATAAAAAAAAGTTGAGGGTCTAATGACCCTTAAAGATGTTTGGAGATGAGGTTTAAAGGGTCTTAAGGCCCTCAACTATTTGAGGTTAAGGGTCAAATGGCCTTTCTAGACGTTCGGTGGTAAGGGTCAAGGGTCAAAAGGGCTCAAGAGTCAAGGGTCAGAAGAATCATTTGACCCTCAACTAAAACAAAAACGTTGAGGGTCAAATGACTCTTAACCATGTTTGGAGTTGGGGGTCGAAAGGTCTTGAGGGTCAAATGACCCTAAAAACCGTTTGGAGTTGAGGGTCAAAAGGTTTTAAGGGTCAAATGACCCTCAGATGGATCATTTGACCCTCAACTATAACCAAAAAATTAAGGGTCAAGGGTCAAATGGATCACTAAAATAGGAAAAAGTTGAGGGTCAAATGACCCTTCACCATGTTTGGAGTTGAGGGTCGAAAGGTCTTGAGGGTCAAATGACCCTAAAAACCGTTTGGAGTTGAGGGTCAAAAGGTTTTAAGGGTCAAATGACCCTCATAGCCGGTTGGGGATGAGGGTCAAGGGTCAGATGGATCATTTGACCCTCAACTATAACCAAAAAATTAAGGGTCAAGGGTCAAATGGATCACTAAAATAGGAAAAAGTTGAGGGTCAAATGACCCTTCACCATGTTTGGAGTTGAGGGTCGAAAGGTCTTGAGGGTCAAATGACCCTAAAAACCGTTTGGAGTTGAGGGTCAAAAGGTTTTAAGGGTCAAATGACCCTCAGATGGATCATTTGACCCTCAACTATAACCAAAAAATTAAGGGTCAAGGGTCAAATGGATCACTAAAATAGGAAAAAGTTGAGGGTCAAATGACCCTTCACCATGTTTGGAGTTGAGGGTCGAAAGGTCTTGAGGGTCAAATGACCCTAAAAACCGTTTGGAGTTGAGGGTCAAAAGGTTTTAAGGGTCAAATGACCCTCATAGCCGGTTGGAGATGAGGGTCAAGGGTCAAATGGATCATTTGACCCTCAACTATAACCAAAAAATTAAGGGTCAAGGGTCAAATGGATCACTAAAATAGGAAAAAGTTGAGGGTCAAATGACCCCTAAGGACGTTCGGAGATGAGGGTTACAAGGTCTTAAGCGTCAAATGGGTCATTTGACCCTCAACTAAACAAATAAAAAGTTTCTTGAATCATGCCAAATGCTCGTTTATTCTCCTGCCCCATTTTGCCCCAGTCATCCAACCCCCTCATTTATCTTCCAGACGCATCTTGCACCCAGTCATACTCACAACCCCCCCATAATCGCTGGCCAATAAATAGTGAAATAGTGAATAGTGCCCACACTATCGTCGCAATCACACGCTTACAAAAAAATGTTAATTTCTGCTTATTATGTATGTTTGCTTTGTATACGAATACCGCGGTGTCCATTTATCTAGGACTTGCTCGATGTCCTCCGAGGGATCCGGCGGTGGAGGGGGTACATTGAGGGGATCACGCGGCTTGGGGAGTCTTCTTCGTCGTCACGCCAGTTTCAAATCACCACAAGACAACCCCCCACAGATTCAACTTGTCATACAACATCCCGAGCATTCTTAATTCAATCATTTACGATTAATTAGATGTTTAGGTTTAATACGAGAAACATTTATGCTAACATTTTGTAGAAGGCAACTAATTAAATAATTCATGATTTTTTCGCAATTTAGAGTGGAATAGGATTAACTCATGAGTTTATCGACTTTTTGAGATTTTTTTTTTTTATTGAAAAAACACATTTCGGAGGTAAAGAGGAGGGAATTTTGCTCGATACGCTATTTATTCTTTTTTTATAACATAATTATTATAGAGAAAATAGTTGAATTGTTATTGGGAATGAGGGAATGGTGGGGCACAGTGGATGATTGTTCTTGTTCTAGTACTTAAAAGGAGATGAACAAATTTGGTTTTCGTTTTTACTGAATATCTCGAAATTGAAGGGGGATAGCGAAACTTTGATGGGAACCTTTTTTGTAGATCTCTTTTTACTCCACAAAAATGGTATCGATGAAAATTTTGCTATCTCTCTTTAATTCTGAGATATCCAAGAAAAACTGAATGTGAAACAGAGTTTATCTCTTACTTCAAAACTTCTCCACAAAATCTTTGATATCTTGAGATTGGTAGAGTGAAATTGGGCGAATCGAACGTCATTTTGAAGAATGAAAAAATATCTTCAAAATGAGAGAAAACATGTCCAATTTGAATCGTTGGTTCACAAGATATTGCAGATTGAAAAAATTGTATTGTTCGTTCTGCTGTTAAATTAGTTTAAAATCCTCTTTACGTCCTCTAATTATTCATTCCATCCGCGAAAACTTGTAGAAAATTTTGACAGCCTCATTTGCAGGCATAAATTAACATGAAGAAATATTTTCGAATATTAGTGAAGCAGTTTGTGACTTATTTGGCATTTTTCATCATTTATGTCACTAATTACACTAATTACGTTTGATTACAATGTAATGAAACAATTGAGTACTAATCCCAGTTTTTTGGATTAATTAAAACGTAACATGAGCACTCATTTGTAAACTCCTCAAGCTGTCGTCTTTATTAATGATGATTGGATGATTAATAACTCAGGATTAATAGTTTTGAGAGACAGCTTGACAGAGTATTAATGAAATTCAATCACAGTTCGTTGTAGTTGGATAACTCCATGAAAATTGTATTGTCATACTCATTTTATAAATTTGCAAATAAACGTAATGCTTTCTTACAAATTATTCACTAACCAAATTTGTCCTAGTGCGAGAGACAGAGGAACGAAGTAATTTTGTTGAAATGGGGGAGCGGAATTGTGGGGAGCAATCGTTTCACTTCAAGCGTCAATATCTCAGGATTGGCGGAGTGAAATTCCTCGATTTTTTATTCATTCCCGAGGAAATTTAACGGAGTTTAGGATGAAAAAAAAATCGCTCATTTCGGATCACTTGTTCGGGAGATATTCAAGATTTTGCCCCCACCAAATTCCTCAGGAATTAGTTTGTGATAGCAGTTGACGATCTGCATTTCTGTTTTGTTCAGTCTGAATATTTTGTCATCAATTGCTGTTTGTATTTGTCGCTTTGATGAATTTCTCTTCTTTAAGATGAACTTTTTGCGCTACTCAGTCATTTCCGCATGAGCCTGAGTTGCCAAGTTTAATTATGATTGAGTAAAATGGGGAATGGGAAGAGAGGGATAAAACCGCTGTCTTTAATCGTCAGTAACTTGGGAACGGCAGAGTGAAATTTTCGAATTTTTCTTTCGTTTTCAAGGTATTTTTTCAGGCTTTAAAATGAGCCCTCGGTTTTCCAAATCGTATCGTTTGGTCGGGAGATATTCAAGATTGAAGATGGCCCTTTTATCTGATTCTTCATTCTTTATTGTCATTTGGAGAAGAGGAACAGGTGGGGGAGATGGAGAGCATGTGGGGATGACTTCTATTTGGAGTTACGCCCTTTTTTCTAGCATGCGCAATTAGTGTCAATCAACTGTGGTTGGCATGCAAAGATTATTCAGGAGAGATAGAACTGGTGAAACATGTTTTTTAAATTTTGCGTTCTCTTGAGAATGAGAGCTTCGAACAGAGAATATAAAATAAAAAACCATTTTTGCGGACAATTTCGTGTACTCCACGAAAGGCCTGAAGATATTTTTTGGTAGCACCACAGAAGAATAGAGACAATTACACAATTAACGAAAATAAAAAGCTTGAAACTCTCAACAACTTTTTTTCAAATTTTTCACATATTTGTAAACTTAAATTATCTCGATAACAAATGATTTGAGAGGAAAATGTTACAGAACCTTTTTCGCGGGGAATTTAATTCTCTACAAAAAAGGTTCTTACATATTTCCCCCTAAACCGACTCATTCCCGAGAAAACGCCAAAATTTAAAGAACCAAAAGACTTTTATACGATTCACCGCATCTCCAGACTTCTCCAAGAAAATTAAAATCACCCCACGACCCCTAAATCATTTAAACGTGCACTTTTATCCTTTCAGGACTGTCGACGGCAAGGATAAAAAGAACAAGAAAAAGGGGCTCTTCTAAGGGACCTCAAGCCCTCGAGGAATCGAAAAAAAAACCGAAGAGACGGGTCTCACGCAACGGCTGTTTCCCCTCGCACGATTTATTAAACAAGTCTTTACTGCATAGTAAAAGAGATGAAGAAACCCACAAAACGTAATCACTGAATGTAAAAAAACAATTTGATATAATAATCTTTAAATGATTTTTGTACATGACGACTTATCTTTAGAGAGAAGAAAATAGTTTGACATTCATCATTTTTATTCAGTCGAATAGTGAACTGACGATGGGGTGAGGAACTAAAAGAGAAGAATAATAGCAATAATTAAGAAAAAAAAGTAATAACATTAATTAACTCTCATGGAGTGCGTCTGATTCATCAATCTCTTCCAATAATCAGCAATTAATTAATTGTGAGGATCAGTAACTATTTTATTTATGTTAATTGTACATGTAAATCTGAGAATTAATTATTTACAATGACAGATTGTCTTGTGTTGGTGGTTTTTTTAGGGTCGAGTGACTGTTTGAGGCAGACGTGTGCTTAATTTATCATTCCTTGGAATTTCGCGACAATTAGGATTATTTATGGAGAATTAAATTGAAGGAATATGTGCCAAAAATGGTTTGAGAGAGTGGGAAAGGGGGAGTTTTTTGGAAGAGGCTTGAGGGAAGGGGTTGGAGAGATTCAATCGCTTCTTTTGGAATTTTGGTTCTGGGGAATTTTTTTAATTGAGGGACAGCACCTTTTTTAGGCTTCGAAGTCATTCGTTGGCTGAGGTTTTCTGTTTTTTACATTTTGTTTGACATTGGATTATCTAAATCGCAAGATAAATTTAATTGATGGAAATGTCAAATTTAATTGACTACATTTTCGTGTTTTTTTTACATTTGGTTCAGTGTCAAATTATCTTTATAAGGAGTAATTTTATCGAAAAATGTCGTAAAACATTTTTGTAGGAAATTGTGTTCTCTGCAAAAAAGGTATTCTGATATTTTCTCCTAGAACAAGTTTTTCCCGAGATAAAGTCAATCAACAAAAATTTGTTTACATTTTATTGTTTTTACATTTTATTCTCGGTAACGAAAATCCTTTGATATTTTACTCTAGAACCATTCCTTGACATTGGATTATCTAGGTAATGGGCTCGTTTTCTTAAAAAAAAATCGCAGGATAAATTTAATGAATGGAAATGTCAAATTTAATTGACTACATTTTCGTGTTTTTTTTTACATTTTGTTCAGTGTCAAATTATCTTTATAAGGAGTAATTTTATCGAAAAATGTCGTAAAACATTTTTGTAGGAAATTGTGTTCTCTGCAAAAAAGGTATTCTGATATTTTCTCCTAGACCAAGTTTTTCCCGAGATAAAGCCAATCATTTTATTCTCGGTAACGAAAGTCCTTTGACATTTTATTCTGAAACCATTCCTCGTTGAGACACATGCGATCAACAAAAATATATCATTTGACTGATTACATTCGCCAGTTTTGCATTTCACGTGATATTAAATCATCTCGATATCGCAGTTCAATAAAAAATGTCAAAGGATATTTTTACAGAAAATTTCACCGCCACGAAAAAAAAATCTGACATTTCCTTTTAAAATTCCTCATTTCCAAGGTGAATCCAATGAACAAAAATGTCAAATGTCAGATGTGACTGATTACATTTCTCAATTTCCACATTATGTTTTATTTCAAATTATCTCAATGACCGTTGACGTTACAAAAAAATGGCAGAAGACATTTTTTATAGAAAATTTCATTCCCTACAAAAAAGATGATGTGACTTTTTCTTCCAAATCCAGCCCTTTTCCAGAAATAAATTCCTTAATAATAAAAAGAAGAAAAAAGATGATAAACAAAATTCCTATTATCAAAACAAAAATTCCAAACATTTTGAAACGATCCGGCATATGTAATGATGCTTCCCATTGCTCGATTACTCAACGTACAAAGAAAAAAAACGCAAAATTATGTTATCGAATGACGGAAAACGGCACAATATTGAACACGTCTTCATTACCCAATAATTTCCGCAAAAACATGAACAATGATCACGTTTTTTACCGCTTGAATGAGTCGTCCATACATAACTATAATCAAACACGTAGCTATAAAGTACAAAAGCACTAGAAGAAATGAAAAATAACGGAGGAAACAAAATAAATTACAAACGAGTCACGGAAATTCGTTCAACTTCTGACGAGATGAAATGAAGAAAGGAGTGTCGATGGCTCGACAAGTCCTGATTTAGTATTATAATGGTGAGAGAGCAATTAAGTACATAAGTTTCATATGAATGAAGGGGTGAATCGTCCCTGCGGAGTCAAAAGGGCGCAACAGAAGCATTTAAATATGTCCAAAAAGTCTTTGTGATGTCCCAAGAGTCCGTTCAATCTTCGATATCTCAGGATCAAATGACGCGATTTGAATATTTTTTCTTTCATTTTGAAGATGGAAAAATTTTCTTCAGAATGAAAGAAAAATTATTGAAATTCACTCTGCCAATCTGGAGATATTAGAGATTGAAGACGATCGATTTTTTTTCGCTTTCCCAATCTGTTGAATTTTTTCATCTCTGATCTCTCCGGAAGGAGTGATGCGATTTGGATAATTTTTTTTTCATTTTAAAGAAAATTTTATAATCTTTGAAATGAAAACAAAAACGTTGGAATTCACTCAGCCGATCGCGAGATATCGGGGATTGAAGGGGAAAGTTTCATTTTGACTGTGCAAAGACGATTGATCCTAGATTATATTTTGCCGTGCCAGAATAAAGCAACGCTGCCGCCATTTCTTAATGAATATTAGATGTATTAATTGTAACGATGTCCCGACGCCGCTGACTAGAAGAGAAAAATCCGTAATTATGTAATCGATTGACGAGATCTATAAAAACGTAAAATACAACTATTACATTTTATTTTTCCTCTGTTGGATTTTTGTGTTTTTCATTCCTCTGGGGAATTCTTTGGGAGTATTTAGGTGGATGGGCAACGGCCATGGGTGAACCCATGGAGAAATTCTGATGGGGTCGATGGACTGAGGATGGCCTACATCTGAGGTCCACGTGTTCCAGAATTTTTTGATTCAATTTTTGGAGTTTATTTTCGTTTTCAGGATATGAATGGGCGATGGAGAGTGGAATGCAGCGATTTGTGTCTTCATTTTCGAGGGAATTTTTAATTACAGGAAATTTTATTCAGCTCTGCCTATATTTTCATCTAATTAATTAATTAATCAATCGAAATCACGATTTTATTCATGTTAATTGCGCAATTAGATTGAAGAATGAATATCAGATTATAATTCGTCAATAATTTTGAGAATTGTTTCTGAATATTTTAGATATTTTTCTTTCTCATCAGATAATGAATATTTTATTGAGGAAATAACTTATTCTCCTCCATGACGACTTATTTCCAATCCTATTGTATCGAATAGTGAATGATGATGAAGAGAGGACTATAAAGAAAAGAATAGCAGAATTAAAATTGGAAAAATAATTTAAGGGAAATAATAATCAAATTATCATTTCTAATATTCTCATTCATCAATTTTTTTGAACAATGGGGAATGAAAAATTTATCGCAGGAACAAAAAAATTAATTTAATCCCGAGGTTAAATCAGTGTTAATTCAAATGGGGCAAGATAAATAAAAAATTATTCTTCAGGTCAAATATTGAAAAATTATGACCCCTACGATATAATTGAACCCGAGGATAGATTTTACCCTGGGGTTTATTTGGATAACAGAGCTTCGTGCAACCGGGGCTGATTTTCTAACAATTAAATTAAAATTAAATTAAAGGAATTTTGCTCGATTCTAGAATATTTTACCTTATATTTCGTTCGGTAAATATTGAATATTTCATTGGAGATTTGAATTTCACTGGTGAGTTGAGTTCGAGGGAGAGCCCCGACACTGATTGCCATCCTAATTGATTAGCCCTGACAGTTCATCGAATGATGAATCAATTTCTCGGGTGGAAAGCGAGGAAATTAGGTCACATCGAGGGACAATTGAGAGTGATCACGAGTTTTTAAATAGTCTCTGGGTTCAATTGTTGTCAAGAGTGACGAGGACTTCAAATCCCACATTGAATCAATGATAATAGGATAAAAAACTAAAATTAATTAATTTTTTTTTAATAAGAAAAAAAAAATTGAAAACTCATCTTTTGAAAAACAGCTTTTTGTCATTCTTAAGGTGTTCGTCTGTAAATTCCCGGCGGCGGGGGGGGGGGGGGGGGGGACTATTGTTATCGAGTCCTGATTCAATCGCTGAACACGAAAAATTGAAATTTTCTAATAAAGTATTCCATTATAATATTGTTTTAATCTTCAATTTTTTTTCGTTATTCACTAATTGAATTCACGTATTGCATTGCTTTTCAAACCATTCTTTATAATCATTGGAGTTGTATAAAAATGCGTAGAAAAAGTGAAAATTATCTCAGTAACGAGTTGTTTTATCAAAAAATGTCATAAGCCATTTTTTACTGGGAATTTAATCCTCTGTAGAAATGCCTTGTGTCATTTTCTCCTCAAATTAATCCCCGCGAAGAGGAATGCAATTGACAAAACGATAAATCGAGAGAGAAAAAAAACTTCCGCAATTTCAACAGTCAATAATTGCAAAATCATTATGAAACAGTTGATAATAACGAATAACTGAAAGAAATCGTCTCACAAAATCACATAATAATCTCATAAAATTCTAAAATTCATGAAATGCATGCCTCTAACAATAAAAAAAATTGAATGACGTCTCCTTTTTTTTTGTTTAACGATGTTTTTATTCAAGAATAACAGTCGGTATTTACAATATTTACAAACCTTAAAAACTAGTATCAAAAAAAGTTCTGGTAAAGTTATTTAATGATGTATTACACGCTTTTCGCCAAAATTCACGTTTTTTGCATTTTTCTGGGAAATTGTTGATCGGATTGACGTGAAAAATATACAGTTTTTGCGTTTTATCATTAATTAATGGCTCACGAAATTTCATGATCGTGCAATCATTTTACTGCATTTTTTTTTCTAAAACATTTCGGAAATTCACAAAACTTTAGAAAAAATTCTGGAAAATGATTGCACTATCATAAAACTTGGTGAGTCAGTCAAGAATGATTAAAACGCGAAAACTAGCTGAATTGTTTCGCGTCAATCCGATCAATAATTTGCCAGAAGAATTTTCTGGCAAATTATCGACGGGAGTGACGTGAAAAAATATAACGATTTTGTGGTTTGTCATTCTTTAATGGCTCACGAAGTTGCGTAGTGGTGCGATAATTTTCATGCATTTTTTCTACAGTTTTGTGATTCTTTTTAAAAGTTTAAAGAAAGCGCAGGAAAATGTTCGCACCACCTTAAAATTTCGTGAGTCATTAAATAATGACAAAACGCAAAAACGTTATATTTTTTCACGTCAATTCCATCATAAGTTTGCCAGAAAAATTAAAAAAACGTGAATTTTGTCCGAAAGGGTGTAGTACATCCCTAGCGTATAAACATTTGGCCAGAAGAGGCTCTCGAGTGTATTTTATATCCAATTATTATTTTAATTGTTTCAACGACATAATATTCGTCTTTGAGATTGATACGTTATTTATTGTAAACAATATCAATTGACTACTGACTCCCGGATGATCCCTTACGGCACGAAATCCCCTCCCTTTCCTCTCACTCTCGCGCATTTAACTTGTAGCGTTACGTGTTTCCACTCACGAGTTGCTGTCAGTCTGTAATTTCACTTCCACGAGTGAGGTACCACCTCAGTATTCCGGCAGATTCCCGTGAACTGCCAACAACTCGATCGAAAAAAAAAATCGTCCATCAACAGTAAATCGTGGAGCACCTGATCCCGAGGGGAAAATCATCAGGAGCGGATAAAGGCAAGTAACACTGGAATTACTGAATTACTGAATTACCTCCGGAAGTAACCCAGTGACCGTGATTTTCACCTTACGCAAGGTTTCACTTCTAACCTAAATATCAACGAGTGAGAAAGTTCCCTCGAGTCCCCAACACCTCCCCCGCCGGTGAAAAAATAACGGATTCAATTATTATTGAGTCAGTTGTCACGGGAGACTGACCCCTGATCTCGGAGTCTCGTAATTACTCCGGTTTAATTAGCGTTACGTAAACCACCGGTTGGTCCTGATGGGTCTCTGAAGGTACAGGTCGGACCCTTCGAAAAAATCGTTTAAGACATAAACAATTGATGAAAGTTGTTTGATGATAAAATAATGAGATTAAGTAGGCGAATTTATTGATGAATGACGAGTGAGACCAATTCTTCTCCGTCTGCTTCTCAGAAAAACCGTGGAGAACAAAAAATTAATGATACGACTTTATCCATTAATTATTCGAGACGTGAATGAAAATATATTAGAGTCATAATTGAATAAAGTCAAGTGGACAAAAGACAAAGACGATTTTAAAACGTTAATTGTTGTGAAATATTATTGGACATGACTATTCCTTTAGTAATGTTATTCCCTATTTTATTTGTCTATTCGGCTTCTTCGCAGGTACAGGTCGGACCCTTCGACAAAATAGTTTAAGAAATAAATAATTGATGAAAGTTGTTTGATGATGGAATAATGAGATTCAGTAGGCGAATTTATTGATGAATGACGAGTTAGACCAATTCTTCTCCGTCTGCTTCTCTAGGAAAAACCGTGGAGAACAAAAAATTAATGATACGACTTTGTCCATTAATTACTCGAGACGTGAATGAAAATATATTAGAGTCATAATTGAATAAAGTCAAGTGGACAAAAGACAAAGACGATTTTAAAACGTTAATTGTTGTGAAATATTATTGGACATGACTATTCCTTTAGTAATGTTATTCCCTATTTTATTTGTCTATTCGGCTTCTTCGCAGGTACCGGTCGGACCCTTCGACGAAATAGTTTAAGAAATAAATAATTGATGAAAGTTATTTGATGAGGAATTAAATAATTAAATAACGAGACGAAGCAGATAATTTTCTTGAAGAATATCGAGTGTACTCAACCCCTAGCTCAGTTTTCGTGGAATATCTCCGAATCCACCCAAGATACTGAAATTTTCGTGAGGACCTTTCTTAAAGCCCTCAACTCGCTCTACAGAAAAGGTCATGACAAAAATGTCGCTATCTCTCCTAGATTCCAAGATATTCCCTAAAAACTGGCCAACCGTAAAAATCCCTTTAAACCGTTTTCCATTCGCTGCTAAATTCATTTTAAAAAAATCAAAAAAATCTCTGACGATCATCAACCTTTGCTACTTCCAGAACGTCATAAGCCCCCGATGAGGGTCCCCATCCGAGCTCGAGCCGCCACCTCTCCAGGAAGCGAGCCGCGCGCCAAGTGACCAAGCAAATCCCCTAAATAATGAGATAAACCCCGTGTCCATAATCTCCAATTCCACCCCCCGACAAAACTCGTCCCTCAGCTTTACCCCAAAGACTTAAATAATAAATCAAACAATGGGAAAATTGAAATCGTGATAAAGCAGGAGACCTCGAGACTAGGAAAACCAAAATCCAAGTTAAATCCCCGAAAAAATTAATCAATCACGAATAAAAATTATCAGATCTCATCGCCCGCGCCTCACACCCTCGGAAAATGTGGCCCAAAGACGTGGGGATAGTCGCCCTGGAGCTCTACTTCCCCTCGCAATACGTGGACCAAACGGCCCTCGAGAAATTCGACGGCGCCTCCCCGGGAAAATACACCCTCGGTCTGGGCCAATCGAAAATGGGTTTCTGCAACGACCGAGAGGACATAAACTCCCTCTGTCTGACGGTGACCCACCGCCTCCTAGAGCGCTACAAGATCCCCCCGGAAAAAATCGGTCACCTGGAGGTCGGCACCGAGACAATCCTCGATAAATCTAAATCCGTCAAGTCCGTGCTGATGCAGCTGTTCGAGCCCTTTGGGGTGACCGATGTGGAAGGCGTCGACTCGACGAACGCCTGCTACGGCGGGACAGCTGCTGTCTTCAACGCGATATCCTGGGTGGAGAGCAGCGCCTGGGACGGAAGGTATGTGGGATGCGGTAGTTTGGGGGGGGGGGGCTAGGCCCTTATGATGGGTCATATGACCCCATATCATCACCCTTATGCTGAGCCTCGTGACCCTCATTCTACCCCTCGTAATCCCTAATCGCATACGATCCTTAACCTGGCCCTTATTCTGATCCTCATGACCTGGTTTCCGAACCTCTTGACCCTTACTCTGACCCTCGTGATCCTTATTTCGACCCTCATGACCCTTATTCAGACCCTACTGACCCTTATTTTGACCCTCATGGCCCTCATTCTGACCCTTATGATCCGGATTCAGAACCTCGTGACCCTCATGGCCCGGATTCTGAACATCGTGACCCTTATTCTGACCCTCGTCATCCTTATTTTGACCCTCATTCTGAACCTCATGGCCCTCATTCTGACCCTTATGATCCGGATTCTGAACCTCGTGACCCTTATTCTGATCCTCGTAATCCTTATTTTGACCCTCATGACCCGGATTCTGAACCTCATGGCCCTCATTCTGACCCTTATGATCCGGATTCAGAACCTCGTGACCCTCATGGCCCGGATTCTGAACATCGTGACCCTTATTCTGACCCTCGTCATCCTTATTTTGACCCTCATTCTGAACCTCATGGCCCTCATTCTGACCCTTATGATCCGGATTCTGAACCTCGTGACCCTTATTCTGATCCTCGTAATCCTTATTTTGACCCTCATGACCCGGATTCTGAACCTCATGGCCCTCATTCTGACCCTTATGATCCGGATTCAGAACCTCGTGACCCTCATGGCCCGGATTCTGAACATCGTGACCCTTATTCTGACCCTCGTCATCCTTATTTTGACCCTCATTCTGAACCTCATGGCCCTCATTCTGACCCTTATGATCCGGATTCTGAACATTCTGACCCTCGTGATCCTTATTTTGACCCTCATGACCCTCATTCTGAACCCCATGGCCCGAATTCTGAACCTCATGGCTCTCATTCTGACCCTTATGATCGGGATTCTGAACCTCGTGACCCTTATTCTGACCCTCATGACCCTCATGATCCGCATTCTGAACCTGGCGACCCTTATTCTGACCCTCATGATCCGAATTCGGTACCTCGTGACCCTTATTCTGACCCTCATGCCCATTATTTTGATCCTCATGACCCTTATCACAAGCGTCAAACCCTTACGACCCTCGATTGGAGTCTTAATTTCGAGCACCAAATTTTTATCACCACAAGTCAATTTCGATTGTTATAATATACAGAGATGAAAATATTTCTGCATCGAATTGATTTTTTTCCATGAAAATCAGTTCATTTATTTTTGAAAATGCTAAAAATAGCAATAAGCAATCAAAGGAACCTGAGGTACTCCCTGTCAAATGGGTCAACTCACCCTCGCCCTCTTGGAAACACCGAGTAGAAATTTTCAAATGAAAAAAACTAATGAAAAAACGCGTCCCCCAGGTACGCCCTGGTGGTAGCTGCCGACAACGCAGTCTACGCGAAGGGATCAGCACGACCCACAGGGGGTGCTGGTGCCCTGGCGATGCTCATCGGGCCCGACGCGCCCCTAGTCTTCGACAGGGGGCTCAGGGCCTCGTACATGCGACACGCCTACGACTTCTACAAACCTGATCTCCGGTCGGAGTATCCGGTTGTCGATGGCAAGCTCTCGATCCAGTGCTACCTCAGTGCACTCGACAATTGTTACCAGAAGTACTGCGAGAAATTCGAGAGGAAGACGGGGGGGAAGGTGACCCTGAGGGACTTCGACGCCGTCCTCTTCCACTCGCCGTACTGCAAGCTCGTGCAGAAGAGCTTTGCGAGGCTGGCCTTCGTGGATTTCCTGAGGCTCAAGAGGGACGAGGTCCTGGAGAAACTCCCGGAGCTGGAGAGGCTCCACGGGGCGCGCCTCGAGGAGACGTATTTCGATCGCGAGGTCGAGAAGACCTTCATGGAGAGGAGTCTCAAGGACTTCGAGGCGAAGACCAAGCCCAGTCTGTTCATCGCTAATTTAGTCGGGAATATGTACACTCCGAGTGTTTACTCCGGGCTCGTGTCCTTGTTGATTAGCAGGGGGGTGGAGGAACTCGTGGGGATGAGGGTGGGAGTGTTCTCCTATGGGTCGGGGCTGGCTTCCAGCATGTACTCGATCACGGTGAGGGGCGGAGAGGGCGAGGGGGGCTTGAGGAGGCTGGTGAAGGCCCTTGGAGGGGTCAGGGGGCAGCTGGAGGGGAGGAGGTGTGTGGAGCCGGAGGAGTACACGAGGGTGCTGGAGGTCAGGGAGAGAAACTGCCACACTGTGCCCTATCAACCGGAGGGGAGTGTCGAGGGCATGTTCCCGGGGAGCTATTATCTGGTGGAGGTCGACGAGATGCACAGGAGGAGGTACCAGAGGGTCCCCCTCGAGGGATGATCTGCGGGGGGTTGTCGAGGATTTTTCGGGGAGGAGGGAGCGTTCAGGGAGAAATGGGTATTCGATGTTTTTGTCTGGAAGCAGTTGTTGAATAGATGAGAGGGTGAGGGTTGGGGGGGTGATTTGACGTTTTGAAGATTATCTCTGAGGTGATTCTCGGGGGACTTTGACGACATGATCCTCCACTTTGCCAGGCTGGCCTTCGTGGATTTCCTGAGGCTCAGGGACGAGGTCCTGGAGACACTCCCGGAGCTGGAGACGCTTCAGAGGAGGTTTTTGGAGGATTTTTCGGGAACGGGTGGAGGGGGAAATTCGAACGATTCGATTTTGGTGCCTGGGAGCAATTCAGTAGCGAATGTTTTGTGAATATTTCGGATTCTGAGGGAGATAGCGAAATTTTCGTAATTACATTTGTTGCAGCTCTCAATCGGCTCTACAAAAAAGGGTATTACAACAATTTTGCTGTCGCCCTTAGATTCCGAGATATTCATTGAAAACTGGTCAATAGTCAAAATTGGCTTGTACTGTTTTACCACTTCGCTAGTGAAGTAGTAAATAAATTGTCCGGGGGAGTTGTCAAGTCGAAGTGTCAAATTGTCTCCCTCAAAGGGGGTAAATTATCATCGAATTATCATCAAAAATGTCAAATTGATGCGCCATCGATGCTTGTTTTGGTTATTTATCGATGAATTGGGGGATTCAGGCGATTTGAAATGGTAATTCTAGGTACACGTGCCTTCGAGTGTGAATGCACCCAGAGATAAAATATATTCTATTGTGCTCGAACAACTGCTAGGGGTTTTTATACCGATTCATGAGGGCCATTGGGGGCTCAGGGGTTTTGTATAAATCATTGTCACGTCTTATTGTTTCTATTTGTTTATTCAATTGTAGGATGTTAAATAAATTTTTCTCTGATATATTCTGGCGTTTTTCTTAAACGAATTTACAAATATATTGCTCTGGTGTTGGGCACACCCAGAACACTAGGTTACAATTATTATTAGTTTTTAAAATTTTCTTTGTCGGATTCAGACCATTATTTGTTCGTTCATTCAGTAGTTAACGTTAATGCCTGTAGAATGGGCATTAAAAGTTGTCTGTGATAAAATGGACATTTTTCAATCGTCAATATCTCCGGAGCAAACGAAGCGATTTTCATGAGTCAAAGGTAATTTTAAAGAGCAAAAAAATATCTTGAAAATGAAGGAAAAATGTTCAGATTTCACTCAGCCGATCCGGAGATATCGACAATTGAAGAATTCCTATTTTGCCTCTGAAATTTTTTTATGATAATCTGAAGGGTTAATGAGGGTTAAAAATATATAAAAATAACTACAAAAATATACAATCTCTCATTTCACGTCAGATCATAACTTTAACAGAAATCTCAGTGATATTTAAAGATTCGAATAGTGAGTATTGTCGTTGCCATCAGGTCATCGTGTCAAACTTTTTTGAATTCAAGTAATTCATCTTTTTTGTCAATAATCTTCTGCCTTTGTTCACCCTGACAGAGACATCTGGATGTTTAATTCATAGTGCGACCTGAATTCAATGAATCAGCGATTCATTTTTAAACTCTGCGTTATTTCTCGAGGCAATAATTAGAATAAGTGGAGGTTCTAGAGGGATAATTAGGTTTTTCAGCTTTTTTTACTTAAATATTAATTGTCAATCTTTGAAATCGTCAGATATCCTTGATAATTCTGTCTAAAAACATTTTGTAATTTCATTTTTTATCAAGTTTAGACGATTTATCTTGATAGATACACTAATAAAATTAACAAATAAAAATATTCTGACGAAATACAAAAACTATTTGATCAAGAATTGATTGAATTCATCATTTGAAAAGACAATTACAAAAATAAAATGACTAATTGAAGACAATTACGACTAAAAATAGTGATTTAACGATTGCAGACAGCATTATCAGTAGTATTTATCAATTTGAACGAATGACAAATCATATTAGTCATTGTTGCACTGCATTCAACTGAACTTCAACATTTCCAGAACGTTTTCTGACTTTTTAATTAATATTGATTGTCAATCTTTGAAATAGTCATATATCCCTGATAATTCTGTCTAAAAAAATTTTGTAATTTCATTTTTTATCAAGTTTAGACGATTTATCTTGATAGATACACTAATAAAATTAACAAATAAAAATATTCTGACGAAATACAAAAACGATTTGATCAAGAATTGGTTGAATTCATCATATGAAAGGACAATAACGACTGAAAATAGTGATTTAACGATTGCAGACAGAATTATCAGTAGTATTTATCAATTTTCGTTAATTGATAAATACCGAATAACGAATGACAAACCACATTATTAATTAGATCGATGAGTTTGTCGTGTTGCATTCAACTAAGCTTCAAAATTCCCAAAATCCTGAGAGTAAATTTTTTTAAAAATTCTCTTGGCTTCAGAACCACCGGAGTTATCATGAATAAATTAATTCTGTACTCAATAAATACTAGAATGGGAAGATGGAGGGGCTCACGTGGGATCTTACGAGCAGCTGAAGCATGAGGAGAGAGTTTTACTGTCACCAAGTTTCACTATTTCCTCGTCTTTCGGTTCCAACTGACGATTTTCGTGTCGTTTCTGTAATTATTTAATTTTTAGTCACATTCAATTTTCCAGAAACTCAATAATTTTTCTTATTCATTCAACTTCCATATTTTTTCTCTCTCACTCCAACAATTTCATTATTCTATTCTCGAAAACTAACAAAAGTCGTTTAATGATTAAATAAATTAATTATTATTCTAAGTTAATTATTATTCCAGATAAAAAAATTGATAAAAATGGATCTCAATGACATTTAAAAGATAATGCAACCGAACTTGAATGAAAATAAATAAGAATAAAATGAGTGAATGAAAGAAGCAATAATTACTTTCAGCTCTGACGCTATAGTGAAGAATATCGTGTCTACATTAATATTATCTTTGGCTGATGTTTCGATGACATGTAATACTTCGGGCATGTATGTACACAGGGCCTCAGCTTCGCTCCTTTCTACCTCTCTCAGACTTTCTAGGTCGCATTTATTGCCTACGAAAAAGCCACAACATGATGCCCACATTTTCGGATGGAATAACACAATCCTCATTCATAATCCCATAAATTTGAATATTTTATACGGTTACCCTCTCACCTACTAGAATTAACATAACACTGGAAGACGTGTATCGCCGCACCTCCTCGATCCACTTCTGTACACTGAGGAAGCTGGATCGTTTCGTGATGTCGTAGACTTGCAAAAGACACAACAGAAACGGAAATGTTTATCAGATTTTGATAATTCAAGGGGTCCAAGGAATTCTGCAGTGAAATCAAACTCATTTCAAAGCTCCAACAATTTTATTCTCATTATCTTTCTCAATTGAAAATTTTTATCTCAAATTTTCTTGAAAAAATGATCCTCAGTGTTTTATTTTTGATTTTTTTATCGAACAGAAAGTCACAGAACTGTTTTTTTTAATTAAATAAATTTTATTTTGAAAATTAATTCGAACAAAGGATTTATTAGTGAATTATTAATAATGAATTCTCAATTGAAAATCTTTATCTCAAATTTTCTTGAATAATAATCGTCAATGTTTTATTTCGGATTTTTTTATCAAACAAAAAGTCACAGAACTGTTTTTTTTAATTAAATAAGTTTGATTTGAATTAAAGAAATAGTTCTTTAAACATAAAAAATTGTTTTCTGAATCGAATTAAAGAATTCATTGGTTAAAAATTGAATAATTGAAAAAATTATTGATTCGAACAGAGGATTTATTAATGAATCATTAATAATTAATTATCAATCAATAATAATGATTGGTAATTAATAAATGTATGAGTTTATCATTTTTCATAGAAAATATTGTCAAATTGACTAGAGAAAGTTTAAATGAATAGTTTTATTTTCATGTTCATTACAGAATTTCCCAAATAATCTTAATTAATCATCATTAATCAATCATTCATCACGACTTACCTATCCTCAATCCTTTCGCTCCCCATTACAAACCCATTCAACAATTGTTATTCACTCAAAGGTTTACCTATCAGTATTGTTAATCCATGATTCCAATAATGGTATGAAAAAACAAGAGAATATGAAATTAAACCATAAAAATAAAAGTTTAAATAATATTTACCCAGGATTATACCATTGGCTGACCTGTAATAACTCTGGGTAATTGTTCGAAATCGTTCCTGACCCGCGGTATCCCAAATTTGTAACTAAAAATCGATAAGACGAATCGAAAAACCTTGAAAAAATGTAGCAGAACGAAAAGAGCAGAAACATGAATTAAAATGAATCGTCTTAAATCGCCAATATCTCTCGATCAAACGAAGCGATTTTGATAAATCAAAACTCACTTTCAAGCTTGAAAAAAAACCTTCAAAATGAGGGAAAAAATTTTGATTTTCCCTCTGTCCATCTCGAGATATCGCCGATTGAAGATCCGACATTTTTTCCTCGAGTGGCGCAAAACAAGTCGTCTTCAATGTCGAATATCTCAACATCGTCAGAGTGAAAACCAATTTTTTTTTTCTTGATTTTGAAGATTTTTTTTCAAACTTCAAAATGAGCCCAAGTTCGTTCGAATTCCATCGTTGGTTCTCGAGATATTGAAGTTTGAAGGGAAAAAAATCCTTTCCAAAAACTGAAAACAAAATTATTCAACTGACCTTGACCTTCTTTCCGTCAATGAGGACTGTTTTCATTGAAAAATCGACACCAATAGTATTCCCATGACGTTCTATAAATGTCCCAGCCCTGAATCTCTGCACAACGCACGTTTTTCCCGTGCCACAGTCACCGATCAAAACTATTTTGAAAAGAAAATCGAAATTCTCGTCTCCGTAGATTAATAAATCATCGGGATCTCGGATTGACATTTTGCTGGGGTATTTATCAGGGGTGGGACAACAGGAGTGATGAGTATTTTGACAGATGATGGAAAGCGATGGGAGGATGATGCTGTCAGCTGATCGCAGACTGCGCCATTTGTCATTCATCTCTTCATTATGATTTTTGCTGGTTCCTGTTTTATCGACTGGGGAAGAAATAATGGAGAGCAGAAATGATTTTTCAAAATGTTCAGTGTCTTTGAAAAGAACGATGGAGATTGGATAGATTAGATCTCATTGTGAGGGGTTGAAGAAGAGGTTTGAGATGAGTCCAAATTTTATGGATTTCACTCAGCCAATGTTAAAATATTGATAATTAAAGGTGGGGAGTGGGAGGCAAGCAAGTAGTTAATGTGGCTTTTAGCTCAAAGATAATGTAAATATCAACTAAAAGTTGATGTGGCTTTTAACTAAGAGATGAAGTGTCTTTTAGCTGAAAGTTAATGTGAATATTAGCTAAAAGTTGATGTGGCTTGTAGCTAAAAATTAATTTTGTTATTAGCTAAACATTAATGTGGACTTCAGCTAAAAATAATGTGGATATTGGCTAAAAATTAATGTGGCTTTTAGCTCAAAGGTAATGTAGATATCAACTAAAAGTTGATTTGGCTTTTAACTAAAAGATGATGTGGCTTGTAGCTAAAAATTAATTTTGTTATTAGCTAAAAATTAATGTGGCTTTTAGCTCAAAGGTAATGTAGATATTAACTAAAAGTTGATGTGACTTTTAACTAAAAGATGATGTGGCTTGTAGCTAAAAATTAATTTTGTTATTAGCTAAACATTAATGTGGACTTCAGCTAAAAAATAACGTGGATATTAGCTAAAAATTAATGTGGCTTTTAGCTCATAGATAATGTCGATATCAACTAAAAGTTGTTTGGCTTTTAACTAAAAGATGATGTGTCTTTTAGCTGAAAGTTGATGTGAATATTAGCTAAAAGTTGATGTGGCTTGTAGCTAAAAATTAATTTTGTTATTAGCTAAACATTAATGTGGACTTCAGCTAAAAAATAACGTGGATATTAGCTAAAAATTAATGTGGCTTTTAGCTCATAGATAATGTAGATACCAACTAAAAGTTGATGTTGCTTTTAACTAAAAGATGAAGTGTCGTTTAGCTGAAAGTTAATCTGAATATTAGCTAAAAGTTGAGCTGGCTTGTAGCTAAAAATTAATTTTGTTATTAGCTAAAAATTAATGTGGCTTTTGGCTCAAAGGGTAATGTAGATATTAACTAAAAGTTGATGTGACTTTTAACTAAAAGATGAAGTGTTTTTTTGCTGAAAGTGAATGCGAATATTAGCTAAAAGTTGATGTGGCTTTTAGTTAAAATTTAATGTGGCTTTTAACTGAAAGCTAATGTGGCTTTACGCTCAAACTTAATATAAGGAATTCAGTTAAAAATAGTGTTATTACCTAAAAATTAACGTGGACTTTGGCTAAAAAATAATGTGGCCATCTAAAAATTAATGTCGATATTATCTAAAAATGAATGTGAAATAAAAAAAATGGGGTGTGTGTTGACTCATGCGTCGCCACCCCGCGAGTCAATACACCAACTCTCACCCAAGAGAGAGAGACAGTCTTGTTGCGTGTGATCGTCCAAACCACCAATAGTTCCGCGAGAACTCTGTGGAAAACTCCGTAAATTCCCCGAAAAACCCTCGAAACCCCTCATTAGCTCGAAGATGGGCCCCGGGACAAGCGCCCAGAAGGCCCAGAAGTGATCGAACCCCCGAAAAAATCGGTTTCCGCCAACTGCGTTCATGTGACGGTGACGAAAAATAATGGAAACTTCGCAAGACCAGTGATTCCGTGATGATGCTCCACAGCTGATGCGTTCTGACGCGTTTGACAGTTCTAGGGATTTCCGAAGTCCCAATTTTTAACCTTCGAAGTGTCTCGATACGTGATGATTGGCAGTTGCGGATAATCATTCAATTTCATGAATGATTTGTGAACTATGGCGCATCTAGATGTGATATTCAGCTCGAAGCAGTACGTGGGCCCCGAGAGTCTCGCGGACTTGTGCTTCAGAACGATATGCGATAATCTTGACATCATATCGACGACAGGCCGCAGGGGATACAGGAGTCTGATCAAGGGACTGGTTTTTCCCAGTGAAATATGCGATAAATTGATCGAGTTTGCACAGAGAAATGAGAACATCAAGGTAGATGATCGGTTTTTCCATATTTTTGAAGATGTTGTGGCGACGAGGTTGAGACGGGTGAGGGTCTGCCACAGTGGAATCACTGACTCGTCCATTGCCGCCATCACCAAGCATCAGGTCAGTTGGTTTTTCACGTTTTTGTCAATTCATGTTCTTCAATTGTTTCATTCTCCTGGGCTAATGATGCGATTGGGATGGGCCACGGATCATTTTCAAGATGGTTTTTCGGGCTTGAAAATGAAAATGAAAATTGGGATTTCACTCTGCCAATCTTGAGTTATTAAAGATTAACAACAACTTAAAAAAAAAATTATTTTGAGACGAAGGTGAAGTTTCTGATTTTCAACAGTCAATATCTCGAGATTGGTAGAGTGAAATTGGAAGATTTTTTTTTCAATTTGAAGGTATTTTGCGGGGCTTGAAAATGAGCCCTGACTCGTTCAAATCGCACCGTTTGCTCCGGAGATATTCAGAATTTCAGAAAGTTGATTTTTCTGCACTCCTTCGTAAAACCGAAAACGTAACGAGACTTTGATTTTTTCAAAAAGGTCACGCATCTAGCTTTTGAGGATTGCAATCTCATCACAAGGATGGGGATCGAGTACGTCAATGGGAATTCAAAGAATCTGACGAGCCTGGCGTTCAGGGGGTGCTCCAGAGTCACTCTGGGGGATGGCACGAGTTGTGAGTATTTTTGATGATTTATTTTTAGGATTTGAGGGGACATTGTGAGGGAAAAGGTGAAGTTCAATGGCAAAAAGAAAAAGAAAGAACATCTCTTGACATTTTCATGTAAACTACTCCTTCCTTGGATGAATCAGCATTTTAAAAAATCAATACTTCACTATTAAAATGTTTCATCGAAGGTTGGAAAGCCTTCGATGAAAGTTTAACATAAAAAAATGACGGAGAATAGAAATTTTTTAAAATTAATTTCTCGTTCTTTCTAGATGTCGATTTTTCGACAACCTACTTGAAGAGAGGCTACGTATTCCACACTCCAAACCTCAAGCACCTGGCCTTCGAGTACGTTGGAGTGAGCCCACAGCAATACTCAATCCTCCTAGCAGGATTAACCAATCTCACACATCTCGATTTATCAAATGCCGTGAATATCGGGAGCTTCGAGTTCTGCACTTCAGTTCCACATCTGGTGTCTCTGTGTCTCTACAATGTGAGGATCCTCGATTATTTCAACGCCTTCGTGGAGAATATTATAAAATTAAAGGAATTGAGGTAATTATTAAACATTTTTTTGCTCGCGAATGGAAGCATTGTATTCGTAAAGTCTAAAATTTTCATTTTTTCGTGCGACGATGACTAATTTTGATCTCAGGAGCTCGAATATGCTGTTTTTAGATCATGTCCGTACGTTAGCTTTTTTTTTCAAATTTGTTTTTCGACAATCCCTCAAAAAATAATGAAAAATTAAGGATGTTCTACACCCTTTCTGCCAAAATTCACGTTTTTTCAATTTTTCTGGCAAACTTATGATGGAATTGACGTGAAAAAATATAACGTTTTTGCGTTTTGTCATTATTTAATGACTGACGAAATTTTAAGGTGGTGCGAACATTTTCCTGCGTTTTCTCTAAACTTTTAAAAAGAATCACAAAACTGTAGAAAAAACGCATGAAAATTATCGCACCACTACGCAACTTCGTGAGCCATTAAAGAATGACAAACCACAAAATCGTTATATTTTTTCACGTCACTCCCATCGATAATTTGCCAGAAAAATGAAAACAACGTCAATTTTGGCTAAAAGGGTGTCGAACATCCTTAAGAAAAATGTGGGATTAAAAGGTTGAAATTTCATTTATTAATTACAAAAGAGACATTTTTATTCCTTCTCTCTGATTTTTCCACTTGTAAATTAATTATCATCAGCAAAACTAAACATACGATAAATTACGAATTGAATCAAAAAATTCCTATTCTAATAAAAAACCAAGTAGAGCAAAGTTCGCCATGAACCTTCAGCTCCGAAATAACAAAATTATATTACATTAAATAATTAAATATTGATTAATTATTATACTTTTATAATTATTACAATTATAATTTAATTATAAAATTATATTAAATGATTTCTTCCAGACACCTGGACCTATCCCACTCGAACCACAAGCACGGCACCTACAAGAACGCCAACCAGATGCTGTCAAAGCTAGTATCAAATCTGCCGAACCTAGTGTCCCTGGACATAGGTGGAACGAACCTCGCAGGCAGAGGTGTTGCCGAGCGTCCAGTGGACGGTGAAACCGTGGACTATGCCCTGTGCGACATCCAGGGTCTCGCCTGTCGAGTTAACAATCCCCTGCAGTTCCTGGGTCTGTACGGTGCCCGAGAGGGTGCCTGCAGGAGGCACGACATCCCGGCCAAAGTCATCGCAGGGGATGCCAACGACGAGCAGATCCTCATCGCCGCCCGTGTCTGCATGAATAATAAACCCGAGTTGCTGCAGAAGGTGTTGAACGATCTCTATCACGTGTTCAGGTATGAGAGCTGCGAGCGCATGGACCAGGCCCTCTGTATCGTCCTCGAGGCCATGGAGAAACACATTTCTGAGAAGCACATACAGATTTCAGGAAGGTATGATGATAAAATTATGAGAGGAATGATTAAGGATGTTCGACACCCTTTTAGCCAAAATTGACGTTGTTTTCATTTTTCTGGCAAATTATCGATGGGAGTGACGTGAAAAAATATAACGATTTTGTGGTTTGTCATTCTTTAATGGCTCACGAAGTTGCGTAGTGGTGCGATAAATTTCATGCGTTTTTTCTACAGTTTTGTGATTCTTTTTAAAAGTATAGAGAAAACGCAGGAAAATGTTCGCACCACCTTAAAATTTCGTGAGTCATTAAATAATGACAAAACGCAAAAACATTATATTTTTTCACGTCAATTCCATCATAAGTTTGCCAGAAAAATTAAAAAAACGTGAATTTTGGCAGAAAGGGTGTTGAACATCCTTAATCCCTTGAATTTAAATTCAGGGCCCTTTACCGCCCTTTTTAAATTCAAGAGCTGAGTTTAAATACAGCCCTTGAGTTTAAATTCAATTGATCTGTTGAATGTAATCGATTGCTTAGAGATTTTCATCAATTATTTTCGCGATTATCCAGTCTGATTTTGACCCTTGAAACCCTTGAAGACCCTTAATTCTGAACGTTCTGGAGGGTTATTTCACCCTCAACTTCGAACGTCCTTAAGGGACGTTTGACCCTTGAAACCCTTTACTTCAAGCTGAGGGTTGAGTGGTTTTGAAGGTCAAATGACCCTTAAGGGCTTTTAGAGTTAAGGGTCAAATTCCAAAGCTCCAAACGGAAATGGTCCTTAAGGGTTATTAAACTCCAAAAAATGTGTTTCTAGTTGAGGGTCAAATGATAGTGAAGGTCAAGTGACCCTTAACGATATTTGGAGTTGAGGATCAAACCACCCTTAATGAGGTTCAGCCGTAAGGGTCAAATGAACCTTATCATTTGGAGTTGAGGGTTAAATTGCCTCATGACCATTAAACCCTCGACCAAGGGCGAAAAAAAACTTGTATCTCCTTTTAAAATTCTCATTTACCCTAAAAGTTCTTCAGGGTTATTCAACCCTCAAAGTTCTTTGACAAAACGATCCTGAAGGGTCATTTAACTCTAAAAAATGTACTTCTAGTTGAGGGTCAAATGGTTTTGAAGGTCAAATGACCTGTAAGGGCTTTCGGAGTTGAGGGTCAAATGATGCTGAAGGTCAAGTGACCCTTAAGGACCTTTGGAGTTGAGGGTCAAATTGCCTCATGACCATTAAACCCTCAACCAAGGGCGAAAAAAAACTCGTATCTCCTTTAAAAATTCTCATTCACCCTAAAAGTTCTTCAGGGTTATTCAACCCTCAAAGTTATTTGACCAAATGGTCCTGAAGGGTAATTTAACTCTAAAAAATGTGCTTATAGTTGAGGGTCAAATGATTTTGAAGGTCAAATGACCTGTAAGGGCTTTCGGAGTTGAGGGTCAAATGATGCTGAAGGTCAAGTGACCCTTAAGGACTTTTGGAGTTGAGGATCAAACCACCCTCAATGAGGTTCCGCCGTAGGGGTCAAATGGTCGTAAGGGTCGACCCTTAACATTTGGAGTTGAGGGTGAAATGGTCTCACGACCCTCATTCAACCCTCAACGACCAAAAAGTCCTCATCTCCTATTAAAAATCCTCTCTCACCACCCGAATTATTGCAGTGCAACATTATTCTACATCGTCAAGACAAAAGAGAAGAGTGGACTCGTCGCCCAGATGAAGAGACGAATAATAGGCACCCTCCTCGCTGGGATGAGTGCCCACAAGGACGAGGAGACTATGATGCGCAATGGATGCCTGGCGTTGTGTCAATTTCGAATACCCCAGGATGTCGTGAGTCCCTCAGAAACAAAATATCACCAATTCCCAAGTGCACGTGATATTCTCATATTCTCAATCTGTCTACCCTCAACTCCCTGTCCTTTCCAGATGTGGAATTATGAGACCCTTGTCAAGGTTCTCCTGCACTCGGCGAGACACGCAGAGTCCGAGGGCTTCGTTCAACGCATTGGAATTTACCTCTTGAACTCACTGGCCTGCCAGGTCGAGGGCAAGAAGAAGAGACTCCTGGGGAAATTGGGGTGTGTCGGGACGATGCTTAAACTGGTCCAGTACAGGGTCGAGTGCAGCATATTCGATGATGTCCTGGAGGTGGCCTGGTCCACCATGTGGAATATGACTGATGAAACACCAATCAACTGTCAGAGATTCTTGGATGAGAGGGGAATGAACCTCTTCTTGAGATGTGTCAAAGTAATCACATATTTTCTTTTAATCGAACATCGGCATAATCATAATTTTTCATTCAAGCTGAATTTTTAATAAGTCCATTGTTAATATCACTCACCAATTTTTTTATTATTAAATTAACCATCAATTTAATTACCAATTATTGGATTATTTTTCGAATTTCAATGAAGATGAGGAAATTTTAATTATTGTAAGGTGGAGCTTCTCGTTGTATTACGAAATTAATGGCTGATGCCGATCTATGCTTTTAATTCAGTGAATTAATTTGAAAAATCACATTGATTCACTGAATTGGTCTTGAGACCTGGGTCTGAGGATGAAAAAAATTCATTTTTTTGTTTTTTTTTCAGCAATATCCACAGAAGGAGGAATTACTGAGGAATATGATGGGTCTCCTTGGAAATGTGGCTGAAGTTGCCTGTCTCCGACCCCAACTAATGCAGCAACAATACGTATCAGTTTTTGCTAATTTATTGAAATATGACAGCGACGGTATTGAGGTAAATGAAGAATATCTTTGAATTTTTAATTAGAGAGGGGGGTGGGGGTTAAACGAACTGTCTTTAATCGTCAATAACTTGCGACCAGCAGAGTGAAATTTAATATTTTTTCTTTCCATTTAGAAGGCATTTTTCGAAGCTTGAAAATGAGACGTAACTCATTGAAATTGCATAATTTGTTTAGAAGATATTTAAAAATAAAGAAAAACAGTTTTTCTTTATTTTTCTCCATCATCAATTTGCTTGCAATCTTCAGTTTCAAATATCTCAAAATCGGTAGAGTGAAATTTTCCATTTTTTCTTTCATTTTCAAGGTATTTTTCTAAGCTTGAAAATGAGACAGAACTCATCAAAATTGCATCATTTGTCTGGGAGATATTGGCGATTGAATATAGACTGTTTCATCCCACCCTCAGTGAAAAATGCAACACTGTCGATTTATGACAATTAAATTTCCCTCTCAGGTATCCTACAATGCAACGGGAATTCTCGCTCACATGGCGTCGGACGGAGTGGCAGCATGGACGGTGGAAACCCCCACCAGGGATGAAGTGCTGGAGGCTATGGTGGAGGCCATCGAACGCTGGGATCTAGCTGCCCAGCGCAACATAAATTATCGATCGTTTCTGCCACTGCTGAGACTCCTTGATGTTTATCACACACCCCAGTGCCAACACTGGGCTGTCTGGGCATTGGCAAATCTCACTCAAGTATACCGTAAGTTATACCATATACACCATTAATCCTAAATGTTTTTAAGAGCTGTTTGACCCTCAACTAAACCCAAAATCAAAAAGTTTCCCAGATTCTACTGAATAATCGTTTTTTACTCTCGTTTTATGCTCTTGACCCTTGAATTTTATTTTTCCAGCAACAAAATACTGTTCACTGGTGGAGGCTGAAGGTGGCATAGAGAAGCTCAACAATTTACTGACTGATAGTAGACCATACTTTAGCATAAAAACCCTCGCAATGTCCGTAATATTAAATTGTAGTCCAGACAATACACGTTGGGAACAACAGGAAAACCTGCAGTCATCGTCCGACACGGATTATAGTCTAGATGGTTAACACCGAGTCTTTTAAGCGGCCCAATCCCAATTGAAAACAAGGAAAGATTACGATTTTTTTATTGTTTACGAGCTGATCTTCATATACTGATATTTTTCCTAGAGAAATTATTACATCGTTGAGTTAATTTAGAGAAATTTATTTTGTCGTGCAAATGTATTATCGATTGGGATCTCGATGTGTCCACTGTAAATATTATTTTTAATTGTCAGGAAATATGATTAATTCACAATTTAAGGGAGAACGGGGCAAAATGGGACGACAGAGGAAACAAATATTTTTTTGTTTTAGGTGAAGGCCAAATGGTTTAGGTCATTTGATCCTTAACCCTGCATGTTCCTAAAGATTAATGTAGCTGAGGGTCAAATGGATTCTCAGGGCCAGTTGACCCTCAACTCCGAAATTCTTAAGGGCCGTTTTACCCTCAAAACCATTTGACCTTTAACTATGAACAAATGATGTTGAGGATCAAATTACCCTTAAGGATGTTTAGAGTTGAGGGTCAAGTGGTCTTGAGGGTGAAATTACCTTTAACCCCAGACACTCTTAAGGGTTGTTTGAGCCTCAAGACAATTTGGCCCTCAACTCAAATCGTTTTCAAGGGTCACTTGACCCTCAAAACCATTTGTTTCATGTTGAAGGTCAAAAGATAATTAAGGACCTTTGGAGTTGAGGGTCAAATGGTCTTGAGGGTGAAATGACCCTTGACCCTATGCATTCTCAAGGCTTTTTTGATCCTAAAGACAATTTGACCCTCAACTCAAATCGTTTTCAAGGGTCATTTAACTCTCAAAACCATTTGTTTAAGGTTGAGGATCAAAAGATAATTAAGGACGTTTGGAGTTGAGGGTCAAATGGTCTTGAGGGTGAAATGACCCTTAACCCTATGCATTCTTAAGGCTTTTTTTACCCTCAACTCAAATCGTTTTCAAGGGTCATTTGACTCTCAAAACCATTTGTTTCATGTTGAAGGTCAAAAGATAATTAAGGACCTTTGGAGTTGAGGGTCAAATGGTCTTGAGGGTGAAATGACCCTTGACCCTATGCATTCTTAAGGCTTTTTTGACCCTAAAGACAATTTGACCCTCAACTCAAATCGTTTTCAAGGGTCATTTGACTCTCAAAACCATTTGTTTAAAGTTGAGGGTCAAAACATAATTAAGGACCTTTGGAGTTGAGGGTCAAATGGTCTTGAGGGTGAAATGACCCTTAACCCTATGCATTCTTAAGGCTTTTTTTACCCTCAACTCAAATCGTTTTCAAGGGTCATTTGACTCTCAAAACCATTTGTTTCATGTTGAAGGTCAAAAGATAATTAAGGACGTTTGGAGTTGAGGGTCAAATGGTCTTGAGGGTGAAATGACCCTTGACCCTATGCATTCTTAAGGCTTTTTTGACCCTAAAGACAATTTGACCCTCAACTCAAATCGTTTTCAAGGGTCATTTAACTCTCAAAACCATTTGTTTAAGGTTGAGGATCAAAAGATAATTAAGGACGTTTGGAGTTGAGGGTCAAATGGTCTTGAGGGTGAAATGACCCTTGACCCTATGCATTCTTAAGGCTTTTTTGACCCTAAAGACAATTTGACCCTCAACTCAAATCGTTTTCAAGGGTCATTTAACTCTCAAAACCATTTGTTTAAGGTTGAGGATCAAAAGATAATTAAGGACGTTTGGAGTTGAGGGTCAAATGGTCTTGAGGGTGAAATGACCCTTAACCCTATGCATTCTTAAGGTTTTTTTTACCCTCAACTCAAATCGTTTTCAAGGGTCATTTGACTCTCAAAACCATTTGTTTCATGTTGAAGGTCAAAAGATAATTAAGGACCTTTGGAGTTGAGGGTGAAATGACCCTTGACCCTATGCATTCTTAAGGCTTTTTTGACCCTCAACTCAAATCGTTTTCAAGGGTCATTTGACTCTCACAACCATTTGTTTCATGTTGAAGGTCAAAAGATAATTAAGGACCTTTGGAGTTGAGGGTGAAATGACCCTTGACCCTATGCATTCTTAAGGCTTTTTTGACCCTCAACTCAAATCGTTTTCAAGGGTCATTTGACTCTCACAACCATTTGTTTCATGTTGAAGGTCAAAAGATAATTAAGGACCATTGGAGTTGAGGGTCAAATGGTCTTGAGGGTGAAATGACCCTTAACCCTATGCATTCTTAAGGCTTTTTTTACCCTCAACTCAAATCGTTTTCAAGGGTCATTTGACTCTCACAACCATTTGTTTCATGTTGAAGGTCAAAAGATAATTAAGGACGTTTGGAGTTGAGGGTCAAATGGTCTTGAGGGTGAAATCACCCTTGACCCTATGCATTCTTAAGGCTTTTTTGACCCTAAAGACAATTTGACCCTCAACTCAAATCGTTTTCAAGGGTCATTTAACTCTCAAAACCATTTGTTTAAGGTTGAGGATCAAAAGATAATTAAGGACGTTTGGAGTTGAGGGTCAAATGGTCTTGAGGGTGAAATGACCCTTGACCCTATGCATTCTTAAGGCTTTTTTGACCCTAAAGACAATTTGACCCTCAACTCAAATCGTTTTCAAGGGTCATTTGACTCTCAAAACCATTTGTTTAAAGTTGAGGATCAAAAGATAGTTAAGGGAGTTTGGAGTTGAGGGTCAAATGATCTCAAGTGTTCCATTCTGCCCCTTCCCCCGTCCCCAACTCTTGCTCTCATTACCAATTACAAACTAAAAGTGGCAATCAATCATCATTAATTACCCTATAAGTGACATCTAACGTTCATTTGGCTGAAGATTGAGAAAAAACGAAAGCTCAGCCTTGAAACTTAGAAAATAAATCACGAATTGTTATTGAAAAATCCTAGTAACTTATTCTAACAACTGTTTAGTATTGTTAGGACGAGAAGATAACAGAGCAGCTAATGAAACCGATCGCGAAAGATCAGTTCATAAATTTTTAGTTGATTTACGGATAATGGTAATGTCGATTTATTGTAAATAGGGGACATTGAGGGGTGGTTGAATAAAGTGTTGCTTCAGGTTTGTATGTTTTTGTATATCCTATGATAATGCTCTCGACATATGGTTTTTCTGTACAGGCTGAGAGAGAAAATTAGCTCTGCCGAAAAACTGGTGTTACAGGTGAGAGAATATTTGAGGGAGTGGAACAGATTTACTTGAGGAAAATTAACCAACTTGACGGAAGGAAATTTAATATCGTTCACAGAAATTAAATTTTTCTCGTGGTCATCAGAAATATTTCTAGGAGAATTCGAACTGTTCGCTGGAATAAATATAGTCTATTGTACGACAATCATTTGATCTCAGAGAACTCCGTAGGTTTATACCATAGAAAAAATACATTGATGAGGAAAGAATTGTTTTTTCATCACGCTGTGACGAAAAGTGAACTTTTAGGAACGTTTAGAAAAAGTGAACAATTTCCGCCACATTGTGATGAATAATTTTGTTCGTAACTCGTGAAAAAAAGTTTTTAGCTCGTGGGATTATATCTAACAACTCGCCTTCGGCTCGTGATATAAACCTCCCACTCGCTAAAAAACACTTTTTTGCACTCGTTACGAAATATACTATTTCATCACGCTGGGCGGAAAAGTAACTTTTTAGGTGCTCTGAGAAAAAATAGTATATTTCGTAACGAGTGCTAAAAAACATTTTTTCACGAGTGACGAACAATATTTTTCATCACAATGTGGCGGAAATTGTTCACTTTTCGTCACAGCGTGATGAAAAAATATTTTTTCCAAATATTCATTTACTGGAGGGAAGCATTTATTTTTCCAAAATCGTATTTTTCTAATCGCATCACGCTCAGGCGAACCTGATTAGGTTTCAATTATAACAATGATGTTGCTCTAGAGGATGACTATGTTGAACATGACCATGGATAAACTACTCTAATGATTTTTCATTTTTCGTAAATTTCTTATTTTCTACAGGGAAGAATTTCAAGTAATTTTTAAATGTTTGTGATTAGTGAGAGAGTTCATTCGAGCTTTTAACTATCATGATCATCTTCAAGAGCAACATAATTGTTATAATTAAAACCTAATGAGAATTGTCTGGGAATGGCGCGACTGGAGGAAAATGGTACTGAAATAGGATATTTCGTAACGAGTGCAAAAAACATTTTTTCACGAGTGACGAACAATATTTTTCATCACAATGTGGCGGAAATTGTTCACTTTTCGTCACAGCGTGATGAAAAAATATTTTTTCCAAATATTCATTTACTGGAGGGAAGCATTTATTTTTCCAAAATCGTATTTTTCTAATCGCATCACGCTCAGGCGAACCTGATTAGGTTTCAATTATAACAATGATGTTGCTCTAGAGGATGACTATGTTGAACATGACCATGGATAAACTACTCTAATGATTTTTCATTTTTCGTAAATTTCTTATTTTCTACAGGGAAGAATTTCAAGTAATTTTTAAATGTTTGTGATTAGTGAGAGAGTTCATTCGAGCTTTTAACTACCATGATCATCTTCAAGAGCAACATAATTGTCATAATTAAAACCTAATGAGAATTGTCTGGGAATGGCGCGACTGGAGGAAAATGGTATTGAAAAAATAAATACTTCTCTCCAGAAAATGGATATTTGGAAAAAATATTTTTTTTTCTCAGTGTACGCTTCGCGTGCCTAAAACGTCCCTTTTCCACAGATTGTGACGAAAAATATCGTTCAATACTCATGGAAAAAGTGTTTTTTCCACATTCGTAACGGAATATACTATTTAAAAAAAAAATTGGCCCCTCGAAATTATTTAGTTCTACCAATAAGACAGTTTTCAGCAAGAAAATTGTAGTTTCCTCTTGAAATTATCATTTGCCGATATAATTCTCTGCCCATATAATTCTCTGTAAATTGATTCCGACAAAAGACCTCTTGAAGGGGACATGAAAAATTTTCAGCAGAACTGATTTTCTCTCTCAGTGCAATCTTCAGAGAATTTCTAGGAATATTATTTGGATAATGTCTCAAGATTGAACTCTTAGAGTTGTCAGGAGTATATTACAGATGAGTTTGAATAATAAAAATGGATATTGAATTATTAAACGATGGATTAGAGATATTTGTGAATCAGACGCCTGTGTTTCAGTAAATCTTCTGGTTGATTACGTGTTAATTACCATTGTCTTTTATTATTCCCTGCGGCGATGCGAAACTTGGGATATCTTGATAACTAATGAGGCGAAGGGGATGAACCTGGGGCCATTTTCATTTTTATCGCCTCCGCACAGTCTGCAGTCTTCTTGTTCTGCAAGTTTCATCTTGAACAGATAGGATTGGTTGAAGTTTATGATTTTGTGTCGACATAAAACGAGCAAAATCGCTCCCCAGGGCTATGTAGAACGCAATTGAAGAACATTTCACATTATCAAAATGAAATAAAACAGCCCAGATCACGTTCGAAAGATAATACTCGCGGGCCTTACAGAAAATGAACTAAAGTCGATTGGTTTATTTCTCCATCAATTTGAATAAAAATCGTTCGAATTGGTTCATTCCCACAATTCCTGGCAGTGTCAACATCCGGTTCACACTGGAACATTCCTCCGAATCGGTCAAAACGGACCGGGTGAGACGCCACAGCTCAGACTGACGACATTTTGCTTTTCCGTGGGCTGTCCTTCATTGGCAACAGTTCGCAGCCTTCAGAAGTGCATTTTTTATCGTCAAGTGTATTGCAAACCGGCGTCCATTGATCCACCAACAATACGGTGGGCATTTTGCTGGAGATTATCGCAGCCTCAAGTGAGTGAAAATTTCCTTTTATCTTTGGATTCCGACAATTGCTGGGGGACAAATACTCCTTTCACCCGAACTCTGATTAATTTCGGCGCGTGCGATGCTATTGATTTTTCGGGGCGTTCAGGAGTCCCTGGAGATGCTGGAGGTGCGTCAGGATTCTCATCTCAAGAGATGAATCAAAATTTTTAGGGGCACTGGGGGGAATTTTGCGAAGGGCGTTGGGCGCATTTTTATTCGCGTTGGGTGGACGGTATTGAAGGTTATCCCATGGCTTCTTGCGAGGAGTTAATTCAACGTGATGATTATGGTGATGATGGGAGAGAGTTATTCTAGCATCAATTTTGGTGATTGATGAATTAATTCGGGGAGATGAGCTCAATTATTTTTTGATCGACAATAGCTCGAGATCGGCAGAGTGAAATTGGACGATTTTTTAGCCATTTTGAAGGTATTTTTTTGAGCTTCAAAATGAGACGTGAGTCATGCAAATTGCATCATTGGTTCAAGAGATACTGGAGAATGAATAAAGACTCTTTTGGTTTATTCTTCTCTAGAATTATTTTGTTGCAAATTTTCAACTTTAAATATCTCTAAATCAGTAGAGTAAAATTTTTGCTTTTTTTTTCATTTTGAAGGTATTTTTTTGAGTTTTAAAATGAGACGTGCGTCATCCAAATCGCACCATTTACTCAGGAGATATTGAAAGATATTGATGATTCAGGAAGGTTTAATGGATCTTGCCCTCCCCTGAGTTTATTCCCCTCATGCTCCTGTTTCCGCTAAATATCTGATGTACATGACGCAACTCTTGTTGCGACATTTTCTCTGAATACCATTGGCAGATTAAAAAACTTTCCATGAAAATTTCGGTATCTCCCTTGATCTTCAGATATTGAAACAAACATTAATCTCTATGTGAATTCGACAGTGGAAAAAATTCACATTTATTAAACCTTCACTATCTCTCGAACGAACAATACGATTTGGACGAGTGAGTGCTCATTTCGAAGATGATAAAAAGACCTTCAAAATGAAAAAAAAATCGGGGGAATCCACTCAGCCCATCCCCAGTCATCACCAATCGAAAACTGTCTGTTTTTAATTCTCTCCAATTTCTTCGTTTGATCGAATAATTGATTAGTTAATTAGTTCTAGGGGAGAGTGATGAAAAATGAAACAGTCAACAAAACGACTGTTTAACGCAATTCAAGCAAAATCTTCGCCGGTTAACTTTTTTTTTTTTTTTTTTTTTTTTTTTTTTTTTTTTTTTTTTTTTTTTTTTTTTTTTTTTTTCCTCATTATTTTACATTGCTTCGACCCGTTAGGGTATGCTGCGATGATGTTCAAGACTTTTAAATGGTTAGATCTCACCATTCTACCCAGCCGGGTTGTGAACTCGGAACCTTTCACGCGAGGCAACAAACTACAGAAAAAAAAAAAAAAAAAAAAAAAAAAATTTTTTTTTGTTGAATTGCGTCAAACAGTCGTTTTTTTTGGACTGTTTCATTTTGTCCCACTCTCCCCTAATTAATTATCAGGAGAATCAGCGTGATTTTTCTCTCCCACAGATTTGAAATGAGTTCACGAGGCAGAGGATTCAACTCCCGTGGGGGTGGGGGCAACTCATACAGAGGCCGAGGAGGTGGAGAGTGGAGTGGAAGTGGTGGAAGTGGCAGCCGGGGTGGGTTTTCATCGTCAAGAGGTGGACGATTCAATAAGTACTCGGGAGGGGGCTACGACTCCCGAAGCAAGTACAATAATTCCAGTGGTGGATCTGATCGTTACGGGAGCAGAGGTGGCCGAGGGGATCACTCCAACCACTACAAGCGTCCACGTGTAAATAATCTCCCCATCAAATCCAAATATCTCCTGAATGAGTGATCCGATTGGGACGACTGGCGACTCATTTCAAAGATCGAATAGCCACCTTGAAAATGAAGAAAAAAATGCGAATTCGACTCAGCCAATGTCGAGATATGGACGACTGACGCCGATGCATTTTGTCCTGATGTCCTCCAAACTTCGTTTTTGATGAATATCTCGGGAAGTAATGGAGCTAGCGAAATTTTTGATTGAACATTTTTTGTAGAGAATTTCGAGAGCCACAAAAAATGTATCTACAAAAATTTCGGTATCTCCCCCCGATTTTGAGATATTCAGCAAAAAATGATTGCAGTCTAAAATTCGATGTAGAAACAACTAGTTGATTTCAGTCGTCAGTATCTCGAGATTGGCAGAGTGAAATTTGCCGATTTTTATCTTTTTTCGAGATCTCTTTTCCGACTTGAAAATGAGCCTAGACTCGTCCCATTCGCATCGTCGCGTCCAGAGATATTAAAGTTTGAAAAAAGAGAAATTCGTTTCGATGGTGTTTATTAGTTATTCTTGATTGACTCGCAGGATCAACCATATTCAGCTAGGGACGACCACAGATCCTCCAGTGAGACCAGCCGCAAGCGCGCTAGAAACGACTCCTACCAGGTAAGCCCTCCCCCTAGAGCCCCCCCAAAAAACCTACGAAAGCTAAACTAAAATTAAAAACAGCCCTGGACTGAACCGAAGCCCCCACCGCCCCCCCCGCCCAAAAAAAAAACTCATCTTTGAACTTTCCTTTCAAGCACCGCTCCGCCAGCAGCGCCCATTCTTTTTTCCTCGAAAGAGCACCGAGATGATTTTAAAAATAAAATTAAAAAACACAAACAGAATTTCTAAAGTGCAAAGGACTGATCGATTCTCGCCTTGTTCCCCCAAAATAAATAATGATCAGGGACTCAGCATCTCCTCTAGTCGCGTACAAGTTAATTTCCACAGTGTGGAAATTAAAAAAAGAATACGCGAAAATCTTTCCCAAAATCTACGAATGCAAAGCAACAAATCGACGTTCTCTTCTTTATTTTTCTTCATAAATATTTGAACATAAATAGCGAGAATAAAAACAATTTCTAGAGGATGAAGTCTAGATAAATAACGAGATGTTGACAGACTCCAAGGATTTGGAATTTTTGTTCGAAGAAAGAACGAAAAAAATTCCTCTTCATCGACATTTATTACCAAAAAACCTAGAAAAGAGTCTGAAAAACGAGCATTAGTACCAAAACCAGTAAAAATAATTCAAAAACTCTGAAGTACCATAGAAAATTATACTATAGCAGTCGTAATACCTAACAGGCCCTAGATAAATAACGGAAAAAATCTAAAAATTTGCAAGTGGGCTCGAGAAATTGAATTTAATTTGGCAGGGCGAAGGTAGTAGCAGTTCGCAGAGATATCCCTCGACATCCGGTGATTAAAATCGACGTTTTCTCTTTATTTTTCCTCATAAAAAACATTTGCATGAGACTTTCAAAAGATCGAAAAAAGGGGGAACGCTAAACAACCGAAAAATACCGAGACTAAAAACACAGTAATTTCCAGAGAGGAATGAAGTCTAAATAAATAACGAGATGTTGACAGACTCCAAGGATTTGGAATTTTTGTTCGAAGAAAGAACGAAAAAAATTCCTCTTCATCGACATTTATTACCAAAAAACCTAGAAAAGAGTCTGAAAAACCAGCATTAGTACCAAAACCAGTAAAAATAATTCCAAAACTCTGAAGTACCATAGAAAATTATACTATAGCAGTCGTAATACCTAACAAGCCCTAGATAAATAACGGAAAAAATGTCAAAATTTGCAAGTGGGCTCGAGAAATTGAATTTAATTTGGCAGGGCGAAGGTAGTAGCAGTTCGCAGAGATATCCCTCGACATCCGGTGATTAAAATCGACGTTTTCTCTTTATTTTTCCTCATAAAAAACATTTGCATGAGACTTTCAAAAGATCGAAAAAAGGGGGAACGCTAAACAACCGAAAAATACCGAGACTAAAAACACAGTAATTTCCAGAGAGGAATGAAGTCTAGATAAATAACGAGATGTTGACAGACTCCAAGGATTTGGAATTTTTGTTCGAAGAAAGAACGAAAAAAATTCCTCTTCATCGACATTTATTACCAAAAAACCTAGAAAAGAGTCTGAAAAACCAGCATTAGTACCAAAATCAGTAAAAATAATTAAAAAACTATGGAGTACCATAGAAAACTATACTATAGCAGTCGTAATACCTAATAAGCCCTAGATAAATAACAGAAAAAATGTCAAAATTTGCAAGTGGGCTCGAGAAAATTGAATTTAATTTGGCAGGGTGAAGGTAGTAGCAGCTCCCAGAGATATCCCTCGACATACGGTGGTTCAGGCTCTTCCTACGACACAAAACGTCCATCATCATCAGCTGTTTACGAAGATAAAAGGCAGAGCGATCGTTATCATCGTAATGACGAACGTCATACATCAGCATCAAGGAGTTATCCAGCACCGCCACCACCTCGTATCAGTGAAATGGCACCACCCAATCAACGTTACATGAATTCAAATCGTGGTAGAGTATCCCAACAAGCCACTAATTATCGTGGTCGTGCATCAACACGTGCTAGAGGTAATAATTTTCGTTCACGTACTGATTTATTGGCACGTAAACGTAATTTGACTGCCATCGACTATCGGAGGAAGCTGTTGACATCACGCTCACGTGACTACATTCAGCGAGTTCGCATGACCACCAAAATGCGAAGGAGGTAATTTAATATCATTTCCAAAAACAAAAAAAAAATAAAAAAAATAAAAAAATAAAAAAAAAATGAACATGTCATAAAGAATAAGTTTTCGATGAGTGCTTAATAGAGAATAAAATGTATCGAACAATTGATGAGTTATCTACTGCCTGAGATGTTAATTGGAGGAATGCCGAGAGGCAAGAGGGTTTAGAGAATAATGATTATGAGGAGGACTTTTCTACTTTGCTTGTTGTCTAGGCTTATGTTGAGATGCACGTGTGAGATGAAAAAAAAACGTGCGAGATGTTGATATTGCAGGAATTGCATTGATTTGTACGAGTTTAGATGATGATTTTGGGATTTATGAGGGAGAGGAGGTGTGGAGGGGGTATTATTTATTGAATGCAATATAAATTGCTGTGACATTCAGCAGCGGTGCGTCTAGGATATCCGGGAGTAAAAAGGAGGGAGGGGGTACCATGAAGGACAAGGATAGGGAGTTGGCGAAGGCTATTAATGCGGAATTTTCGGATGAGGATGATGAGGAGAAAAATGCGGAGGAGGAGGTCTGGGATGAGGAGGAGAAGGTGAGTTTTTATTGCGTGATTTTTTTTTTTCACTGTTGTGGAAACTTGAGGATGTTTATCCAAAATAGGGAGTACTGGAGAAAAAATTGATTTTTTTCAAACTGAGAGATGAAGGTATTCCCTTTACTTTGATATCAATTTCAATTCACTGGGCCATGTTCATTATTTTGAAATGAAATAGAGAAAATGCACCAAATTCATTCGTTGGATTCAGCATGATTTTACACATTAACTTTGATTTTTATTTCTATTTTTAGAGTCTTCTAGTAGGTGAATTGTCAATTTAAACATAAATTTTATAAGAGCCCGTGTATGAGGAAAAATTTTGTTTATTCATTTCTCCCGAGACTATTGCGATTAATTTTTTTACACATTAACTTTGATTTTTATTTCTATTTTTAGAGTCTTCTAGCAGGTGAATTGTCAATTTGAACATAAATTTTATAAGAGCCCGTGTATGAGGAAAAATTTTGTTTATTCATTTCTCCCGAGACTATTGCGATTAATTTTTTTACACATTAACTTTGATTTTTATTTCTATTTTTAGAGTCTTCTAGCAGGTGAATTGTCAATTTGAACATAAATTTTATAAGAGCCCGTGTATGAGGAAAAATTTTGTTTATTCATTTCTCCCGAGACTATTGCGATTAATTTTTTTACACATTAACTTTGATTTTTATTTCTATTTTTAGAGTCTTCTAGCAGGTGAATTGTCAATTTAAACATAAATTTTATAAGAGCCCGTGTATGAGGAAAAATTTTGTTTATTCATTTCTCCCGAGACTATTGCGATTAATTTTTTTACACATTAACTTTGATTTTTATTTCTATTTTTAGAGTCTTCTAGCAGGTGAATTGTCAATTTAAACATAAATTTTATAAGAGCCCGTGTATGAGGAAAAATTTTGTTTATTCATTTCTCCCGAGACTATTGCGATTAATTTTTTTACACATTAACTTTGATTTTTATTTCTATTTTTAGAGTCTTCTAGCAGGTGAATTGTCAATTTAAACATAAATTTTATAAGAGCCCGTGTATGAGGAAAAATTTTGTTTATTCATTTCTCCCGAGACTATTGCGATTAATTTTTTTACACATTAACTTTGATTTTTATTTCTATTTTTAGAGTCTTCTAGCAGGTGAATTGTCAATTTAAACATAAATTTTATAAGAGCCCGTGTATGAGGAAAAATTTTGTTTATTCATTTCTCCCGAGACTATTGCGATTAATTTTTTTACCCATTAACTTTGATTTTTATTTCTATTTTTAGAGTCTTCTAGCAGGTGAATTGTCAATTTAAACATAAATTTTATAAGAGCCCGTGTATGAGGAAAAATTTTGTTTATTCATTTCTCCCGAGACTATTGCGATTCATTTTTTTACACATTATCTTTGATTTTTTCCTATTTGATTTTTTTCTATTTTTAGAGTCTTCTAGTAGGTGAATTGTCAATTTAAACATAAATTTTATAAGAGCCCGTGCATGAGGAAAAATGTTGTTTATTCATTTCTCCCGAGACTATTGCGATTAATTTTTTTACACATTATCTTTGATTTTTATTTCTATTTTTAGAGTCTTCTAGCAGGTGAATTGTCAATTTGAACATAAATTTTATAAGAGCCCGTGTATGAGGACAAATTTTGTTTATTCATTTCTCCCGAGACTATTGCGATTGATTTTTTTAACGTTAGAAAAGTTATTATAGTGTTATATGTGCTGCTGTCCATGAAAAATATCACATTTACCGACAATTTACTAATCATGGCTAAACATCCTTAATCCTGAGGGGATTGATTGGGATTGAGAACTTGGGGATTTAGCTGCAATGAAAGTGATGGTGGTTGCAGGTGGAGCCGGAAGATGAGGAGGAAGAGGAGGAGGAGGAGGAGGAGGAGCCCAAGGAGAAGAAGGTGAAGGAGGGAAAGGTGAAGAAGGAGAAGAGGGGAAATGCTGGACAGGAAATGGGGGAGAAGGACGACGAGAAGGAGGAGGAGGCGGAGGTTAAAATGGAGGTGAGAAGAATTTTAAGAATCGAGTAGTTTTTTAAATCGAGGAAATTTCACACAAAATTTTTTTTCACATTTTCCTCTGACAACACTCGATGAAAAAATTCCACACGTAAAAAATCTCAAAAAGTAAATTTTTTCAACTCCAAATTTAATAATTTAATTAATTACCTCCAATTCTATTAATTCTTTCAATTCAATCCAACCTTCAAATATTATTGAAACGAATAATTGAAGTGAAAAACTTAATTGACGATTTTACTAATTGATTAATGAATAGTTGATTCCAATTGTTTCAAATCATCGAAAATAATTTCGTAATATTTTTCATAAAATTAGTTCTTCGCCAATCTCATTAATTTCCCAAGTTCTCGTGAAATTCTCTTGAAGTAAAATGTTGGAACTGAGACAATTTGTGTTTTCACATTTACCAATAAAACAAGAATTCCACATCTTAAAAAATAAAAATAAACAGCAATTCTATCAATTCAGTTAAAATTGAAGAATTAATTGATGACTTAAAATGTTCGAAATTGATTCCGTAATTTTTTTCATCAAATTAATTCCTCTCCAATCTCAATAATTTCCCACATGCTCAAGCCACAATTCTGTCTTCAGAATGAAGAGGACGACGAAGTGGAGGACGACAGCCAAGAGAAGGGCGAAGGAGTGGAGTCGGATGGCCTCCGAGCCCGTGGAAAGCGTTTCACAAAGCTCCAGTGTCCCCACTGTTCCAATCGAAGTGCAACATTCAAAGAATACTCACTCCACTTGTACTCGGGACGTCACAATATCGCCATGCGACGAATTGCCGCACGCCACAAGGCGAACATTGCGAGAATGCGTGTGGTACAGAGGCAGGAGCAACGCCGTGTCGAGGAGAAGGACGAGGAGCGTGGCACCCTACCATCACGCACAATGTTCTGTCAAATTTGCAAGCTCAATTATCGATCGCTGAAGGCTGTCCATCATCTCTCAGAGTCACACAGGCAGATGAAAAAATTCTTGACTCCATTCTGTCGCATCTGCCGGATACAATTTCGATCGCCGATGCTTTATGAGACTCATGTTGCGTCGTTGGATCACATCAAGGCGATGTTGGTGAGTGGAAATTCATATCGATGATTTTTATGCATTTAAATTCATTCATTCGTTGAATTATTTCATCATTCAATGGGTTAATTGCGTTTTTGTTCATTTATTTGTCATTTACTTTGAAACACTCATTTTTTTAATTCCATTATTCAATCATTTAATGAATTAATTACGTTTTTCTTCATTTATTCGGTATTTTCTTTGAAACACTAATTTTTTAAATTCAATTATTCAATCATTTAATGGATTAATTACGTTTATCTTCATTTATTCGTTATTTTCTTTGAAACACTAATTTTTTAAATTCAATTATTCAATCATTTAATGGATTAATTACGTTTATCTTCATTTATTCGTTATTTTCTTTGAAACACTAATTTTTTAAATTCAATTATTCAATCATTTAATGAATTAATTACGTTTTTCTTCATTTATTCGTTATTTTCTTTGAAACACTAATTTTTTAAATTCCATTATTCAATCATTTAATGAATTAATTACGTTTTTATTCATTTATTTGTTATTTACTTTGAAACACTAATTTTTTAAATTCAATTATTCAATCATTTAATGAATTAATTACGTTTTTATTCATTTATTCGTTATTTTCTTTGAAACACTAATTTTTTTAATTCAATTATTCAATCATTTAATGGATTAATTACGTTTTTATTCATTTATTTGTTATTTATTTTGAAACACTATTTTTTTTCGTCAAAATCATTTGGAAAGATTTTTTAAATGTGGGAAAAATGAGGGAGTATTGTTTTGAGATAGATGTAGAAAATAATGGAAACATTTTAAATGTTTAATAGGGCAGAGTGTAATAGCCGATATTTATTTTTTTCATTATTTTTGTCATTCAAGTTTAACTAAAAGATTTAATGATCAAAAGACCGATGAAAATTTCAAAATTATCATGCATTGAAAATCTAATGGAGATTATTTTACAGCGAAAGAACTCTGATGATAAGAAGGAGAATGGTGAGGCTGAGGGTGACTCTAGTGCACCTGAAGAGGACGATAAGGAAGTCAATCTTGATAATTTCATGACGCTGGATTCTGTGGGAGATGTTGATGGTATGATAAATCATTTTATTAATTATTCAGTTGTGAAGTGAATTTTTTCGACTCTTTTTGTTGAATTATATTGATAAAGAGAGGTTTGAGGGGAAAATATCAAGACATTTTTCACTGGAAAACTTATTCTCAACAAAAATGCTTTTGACATTTTTTTAGAAATAAGACTATTCGTTGGATTGAGTAAAAAAATGTAATTTATTCATTTTGTTTTACTGATTTATGGCTGAATTGTAGTTGAACGATGAAAAAAAATGAGAATGTTGAAATTTCAGCTGAAGACGGAGAGGAGTCAGGTGAGAAGAAGAAGAAAGACAAGGCTGACGAGACAACGAGCCAGGAAAACGAGCCTAAAAAAGCGAAGACAAAGCAAATGATCAAAGTTGGGGCTGAGTACATTAAACGCGTTGAAGTTCAGTTCTGTGAGCTTTGCAAGGTATATTTACCTCGAAATGAAAATTCGGAGAGGGCTGTTGCCCTACATTGCTCAACGAGGAGTCATCTTAAACGGTAAACAACATTTTTGCTCACCATTTCCCTTCAGCAACTCCAAAAAATGAGGGATTTCCACTAATTTCAGGAGAGTAAAAGTCTCAAGACAATTTTTACAGCCGAAAAAATTTCTCATAAAAAGTTTTTTACATTTAATTATTATGAAATTTCTTAATCATTGATTTTTTCAATTTATCAACGGCACCATTTGCCACGGTAAATTATTAATTTCTAATTTTCTCATTATTTGCAGTATTCCTCGATAAAAATTAAAAACGCTCTTTCAAGATTTTGCATTCTTTTGATTTTTTTTCAAGCATACATGTGGATTTTTTTTTTTTTTGCAAACATGCAGTTCTCTGCAAAACAATGGAATTTTCCAGATAAAAAAATTGACGAAAAACAAACGAGATAACACGGAAAGATGATTTAATGAGGCCTCAAAGATAAAATTCCCTCCAAAAATCATTCGACGTTTCATCAACAATTCCTCCTGATGAGACACCTGAAGAATTCCTCCTGTATAATCACCAAAAATTCTCCCCAGATACGTTCGTGACAACGACGACAAAGCCCTGCGTCGCCAGGCCGAGCGCATTCACCTGCAGACATCATCGACAGCGAACACCAAGACCCCGGAGGCCCCAGCGCCCCCAGTCCCGTCGAAAGAGGCCCCAACTCCCCAACAGGCACCAGCCAAAGACACTACAACCCCAGCCCCAGCCGAATCATCAAACGAGACACCTCAAGCACCTGAACAAAATCAATCAACGACTGAACCAGAGTCCACTCAAGAAACTCAACCCAATGAGGACGAGGAAGACGATGGCGATGGTGACAAACTGTGGGACGATGTTGACAAGGACCTGGGGGACATCCTCAGGGAGGCAGAGCCGGGAAAATCCAGTGACGACGAGGACTCGCGTTACGATCGTTTCAGGAATACTGACACCAAACAGAACAAGGAGAATGAGCAGATGACGACTGACGAGGAAAATCAGAAGTTAGATGTGAAGATCAAGGTGGAAAAGCCCGAAAAATAAATCAGGGGCTTGCATTCTGCTTTTTCCTGGAGTTGAGGGGATGAAGAAATTTTTTTTGGGGGGATTATCAGGGGAGGGGGGTGAATGATGCTGGAAAGAATTTTGTGATTAATTTATTGGAGGTTTATCGAATGAATTAATCATAAAACATTAATTACGAAAAAATCAGATTTTTTTTTTAATTCAGTGAATTAATAAGAGCCAGAAAATGAGGGATAAATTGGGTTTTTGGTGAATATCTTTGATTCTGTGGGAGATGGAGTTTTGTAAGTTTTTTTGTGGAGTGAAATGAAAACTATGATTTTTTAAACGAAAATAAAACACTGGGAGAAACGACGATTGAGGGAACTTTTTTTTGTTGAGGGTCAATGAGCCCTGAGGGGGGTGGAGTTGAGTTTGACCCTCAAGACCATATGATCCTCAATTAAAATGAAAAAAGTTTCGTGAATTGCGCTGAATAGGATTTCTCCTGGGGTTTTACAGAAGTTGATGATAACGTTTCCGTGAATATCTCGAAATCTGAGCGAGATGGCGATATTTTCATAAAGGCCTTTTTTGTAGGGGCTTTCAAGAGCTACAAAAAATGTCTCTACGAAAATGTCGCTATCTCCTTGGGATTTCGAGATGTCAATGAAAAACTGATGTAAAAAAATTGATTTTTATCTCGTCACTTCATTAATAAATTTTAAACTGAATGAAGTTCCCCTTGATTTGTTAAATTGATGAAAAATTTCTTCATTCCACTTGATGATTAATTATCCAGCGAATTAATTCGGATTTTTTCTTAATTTTGTACACAAATGTGGAAGCATTCAATGTCAAATCACTAGGAAGGCTACGGTACTCGTTTGGAGTGAAAGAATTGTTTTGTGGATTGGATGGTAAAGATGTAATGCAAACACTAATAGTTCTGAGGGGGAGTGATGCAGAAGGATAAATCGATGGGAAGGAGAATTGAGGAATTCTGTTGGATCACTTGATCACTGGATTCTGTTCTGCTTTCGGAATCCGAAAGATACTTTTCACAATTTCACCGAGGAATTCAGTTCGAGATTAGCTCCACTCGATTTATTTCTATTCTCAATTTTTTTAATAATCTGCGAAGGCGAGAAATTTGGAGAGACATTGAATTTTCATACGAATGACTTTTTCCGAGATTCGAGGGGGACTATTGGAACAGTAAATGTGCGCATAATCAGTTATGATGGGCGACGAAGCTCTCTGGATATCCGGAGGCAAATTTTAGATTGTATAATTGATTGAATTGAATTGAATTGACTAGTGCTTGATCTGTAGAGAATTGGAGGACTCGAAGGGACTACAATAAGTAAGGTAGAAATTAAATTCCACGCTTTGAGGATTGATGTAACTGAATAAAATATTCACATGTGAAGGAAAACTGGGGAGAGTGATTATTATTCCCCTTGGGACGTTACTGAACCCATTATTTTCCAGTAATCTCTCTGGGAATTGAGACTCAATTTGAGGGAGATGATTATTTTTGTGCAGTTGTCGTTATTTTGTGTTTCAATTAATTCTCTTTCGACAGCAACGAAACAGTTGGCTCAGGAGGCGGATCATTCACACCAGACGGTGCCTTTTCAGGATGAAAATATCGCATACGGAGGAAAATTTATCAGCAAATGTTTTATCCCTAAGCTACAAGATTGCTATCATTTATTTAGTATAAAAGTTTGAAATTGGCATGTTTGGCACAAGAAAATCCTTTTTTGAGAATTTTCTAAAAACTATTTTCTTGGCACAAGGAAGACTTGTGCGAGAACTTTGTCGTTCTTCTCTCAGTGTACTTTGATAATTTTTCTCATGAATTCTAACTTTGGTGACTGGAAGAAATTGATCTATCAAACGTCTTCGTCAATTTCTTGAAATAATAGTCCCGCGTTTGACACTCAGAAACGTAAATTATTTAGTATAAAAGTTCGAAATTGGCATGTTTGGCACAAGAAAATCCTTTTTTAAGAATTTTCGAAAAACTATTTTCTTGGCACAAGGAAGACTTGTTTGAGAACTTTGTCGTTCTTCTCTCAGTGTACTTTGATAATTTTTCTCATGAATTCTAACTTTGGTGACTGGAAGAAACTGATCTATCAAACGCCTTCGTCAATTTTTTGAAATAATAATCCCGCGTTTGGCACTCAGAAACGTAAATTATTTAGTATAAAAGTTCGAAATTGGCATGTTTGGCACAAGAAAATCCTTTTTTGAGAATTTTCTAAAAACTATTTTCTTGGCACAAGGAAGACTTGTGCGAGAACTTTGTCGTTCTTCTCTCAGTGTACTTTGATCATTTTTCTCATGAATTCTAACTTTGGTGACTGGAAGAAACTGATCTATCAAACGCCTTCGTCAATTTCTTGAAATAATAGTCCCGCGTTTGACACTCAGAAACGTAAATTATTTAGTATAAAAGTTCGAAATTGGCATGTTTGGCACAAGAAAATCCTTTTTTGAGAATTTTCGAAAAACTATTTTCTTGGCACAAGGAAGACTTGTGCGAGAACTTTGTCGTGTTTCTCTCAGTGCAATGAAAAATCTATTTCTCGTATTTGAGGATTGAGCAGCCACAACGCCAAGCAAATAGCAATCTCGTCGTATCGACCCAAAAGCGCAGCCCTTTGACCTTCCCTCCGCATCAACCGAACATTTTACCAGACTATAAATACCCCGGGACAACGAAAAATACCATTTCTCTGCTGAACGTCGATTTCTCGTCTCTCCCAAATCACAATTCAGTAGCGAAGTGGTAAAAGCAGATAGGGGAGGGTAGGGTAGACTGGACACTTGACTTTCTTAGAAATTTTCATGACGTGTTGAATTGTTCATGAAATGGAATAATTCAGTAGCGAAGTGGTAAAGCGGTTGAAGTCGATTCTGACTGTTGGCCAGTTTTTAGTGAATATCTCGGAACTTAAGGGAGATAGCTAAATTTTTATCAAGACCTTTTTTGTAGCACTCAATTTTCTCTAGAAAAAAGGTCATCACGAAAATTCCATTATCTCCTTTAGATTCGGAGATATTCTTCAAAAACTCAACTAAGAGATGAGTCGACTTAAACCGCTTTACCACTTCGCTACTGAATTTTATTTTTCAATTGAAAAACAATGATTCCTCTTTGTGATGAGCTTAGACTGAGCTCAACTGATAAATCTATTTCTGAGTTATGAATATTTTTAGAAAAGTCAAAAGTGTCCATTTTACCACACTCCCCCAAGTAAATTCTGAGTATTGACCAGTTTTCAATGAATATCTCGGAATCTAAGGGAGATAGCAAGATTTTTGTCATAACCTTTTTTGTAGCTCCCAATTCGCTCTACAAAAAACGTCATCACAAAAATTTCGCTGTCTCCCTTAGATTCGGAAATATTCCTCAAAAACTCAACTGGGAGATGAGTCGACTTGTCTCCGTTTACTTCACTACTGAATTCGATCATTATTGCGCCGAATCCCGGCCCCCGCGGATCCCCTTTGACTCGAGCGGTTCCGGCGCCGCTCACTGATTGCTGCTTCCGCCCGAAAGCCCCGCCATTTTGTGTCAGGACGCCTTCAGTGTCGCGTAAAAAGTGTCGGTCGTGTCTGCAGCATCGGCTTTCCCCTCGAGTGTTTCCACATTTATTCGTACATCAAGTACATCGAACAATCGAAAACTGACCAGAGCATACGTTTGTGAACGTACCTGAGGATGAACAAGACCGAAGAGTAAGTGAAGAACTGCATCAGTCGCACGCAAACCCCTGGATTTTTCGTAAGCGTCCCTAGGGCTCCGAACGCCGATAGATTCGCTCTCATTTCATTCATTTCGATTGCCAATTCAGGCAGATATTCATATTGATATTATTTGGATGAAGCATCGCTAATGCATTCTTTAAGCATCCGACACTCTTTAGAGTCACAAATCCAAGAAAAAGAAATAATTATTTAAAAGATGACTTATTAGCGAAACCAGAGGAGTAGTGGGAAACCGTGAACAGCGAGTAGATTTTTCTGCGTTACATCTGGAGATCGGCAGAGTGAAATCCAATGATTTTCCTTTCATTTTGAAGTTTTTTTTTCAGGCTTCAAAATGGGCTCGAACTCATTGGAATCGCATCGTTGGTTCAAGAGATATTAACGAACAAAAGCGACCCCTTCGTTTCATTTTTCGCCATCATTAATTCGCTTGATCATGTTCAATCGTCGATATCTCAGGATCACTAGAGTCAAAATTTCCCATTTTTCCTTGATTTTGAAGGTTTTTTTTCGGGCTTCAAAATGAGCCCTGACTCATGCAAATCGCATCATTTGTTCGTGAGATATTGGAGATTTAAGAAGCTCCATCATGATCTCCTCATTAATTTAATTAAATCCTTCTAGTTCTCTTCAAAGCGACGACCGCGAGCGAAGTCGCGAGCGCGATCGTTCTCGTCGAACGGATCGTCAGTCGCGCATAAACTCAGCCTCTCGGGACCGCAGTCGTGAGAGGAACGACCGAGGCCGTCGCATCGCCGAGCGCAGGATCTACGTGTCGAACATTCCCTACGACTTTAGGTGGCAAGATCTGAAGGACCTCTTCAGAACGGAGGTGGGGAAAGTCGCCCACGTTGAGCTGTTCACGGACGAGGGTGACAAGCCGAGGGGCTGTGGAATCGTCGAGTTCGAGGACTCTGACTCCGTCAAAGTAGCGGTGGACAAGATGCACAGATTCGACATCAAAGGGCGTAAGCTAGTCGTCAAGGAGGACTACGACGCTGAGAGGGACAAGTACGGACGTCTCCAGTCGTCTAGGTGAGATTTAGGGGGAATTTTTGGTTAGAGGGAGGTCATGAGATTGTTTTTTTGATGCTGGACAACCTGCATTTACAGTTCGATGAATTTGTACGAATGGTTTAACGAGATTGGTATTTGTTTTGTCTGTTCAATTCTCTCAAGCAACATTGACTTGGAATTTTTTTCTCCCTCACACTTAGAAAATTGCTCTTGAAATTTCAAACGAAAAAGCTTGCAATTTTTGACGACAAAGCTACTTGAAATCTCTGTAAATTTCTTCATTGTCGAATCGTCAACTTCTTGAATGTCGAGTAATCCTCGATTTTCAGGCCCAGAGAGGTCATGAGATTGTTTTTTTGATGCTGGATAACCTGCATTTACAGTTCGATGAATTTGTACGAATGGTTTAACGAGATTGGTATTTGTTTTGTCTGTTCAATTCTCTCAAGCAACATTGACTTGGAATTTTTTTCTCCCTCACACTTAGAAAATTGCTCTTGAAATTTCAAACGAAAAAGCTTGCAATTTTTGACGACAAAGCTACTTAAAATCTCTAAATTTCTTCATTGTCGAATCGTCAATTTATTGAATGTCGAGTAATCCTCGATTTTCAGGCCCACACGGCACTGAAAAACCTTGAAAATTTTGAAAATCCGAGCAACAACATCTCTGAATTCTCAATCTATTGAAAATTGAATTGTATGTGATATTGAATTTTCACGAGTTTGGCAATTCAAACTTCCATTGAAAAATCAATGATTGTTTAACATGAAAACCCCAATTTTCCTGAATTTTCAAGATGAATGAGAAATTTAGTGAACGCTTTCATTTGAAATTGAATTCAACCTCACATTTCATCCGAAAATTGAGATGACGCTGTGACTGAAATTTCAAGCAATTTCTAAGTGCAGTGCAAAGAGAATTAATTAAACCCCAAAAGACAACTCATCACACAAAAATATTCATCGCAGTAAAATTGAGTCAATTTATTTCACTGTATGAAATTCACCGGTAATTACAAGAGATTATTTGGAAATTATTATTAATCATGTTTGGGAATTTTTAATGCAGACAAGTATTTCATTGAGTCAAACAATATCGACTTGTTGGAATTTTCTTCTCCCTCAGTTTAATCCAATACGAATACCATTCAGTCGAAGTCACCAGAATGCAGATTCTCAAAGTGATGAGCCCCAAATCCACTATTCACGTTCATAAACCACAAAATTCAACCAATTTCTTCAATTTTCTTTAAAAAGTGATAAAAAATACCAATAAAATCCCCTCAGAATAATAACCCCCACGATTCTGAATTCTCAATCTATTGAAAATTGAATTGTATGTGATATTGAATTTTCACGAGTTTGGCAATTCAAGCTTCCATTGAAAAATCAATGATTGTTTAACATGAAAACCCCAACTTTCCTGAATCTTCAAGATGAATGAGAAATTTAGTGAACGCTTTCATTTGAAATTGAATTCAACCTCACATTTCATCCGAAAATTGAGATGACGCTGTGACTGAAATTTCAAGCAATTTCTAAGTGCAGTGCAAAGAGAATTAATTAAACCCCAAAAGACAACTCATTACACAAAAATATTCATCGCAGTAAAATTGAGTCAATTTATTTCACTGTATGAAATTCACCGGTAATTACAAGAGATTATTTGGAAATTATTATTAATCATGTTTGGGAATTTTTAATGCAGACAAGTATTTCATTGAGTCAAACAATATCGACTTGTTGGAATTTTCTTCTCCCTCAGTTTAATCCAATACGAATACCATTCAGTCGAAGTCACCAGAATGCAGATTCTCAAAGTGATGAGCCCCAAATCCACTGTTCACGTTCATAAACCACAAAATTCAACCAATTTCTTCAATTTTCTTTAAAAAGTGATAAAAAATACCAATAAAATCCCCTCAGAAAAATAACCCCCACGATTCAATTTCCAGGGACCACGACAGACAGCGAGAGGATCGTTACAGGGACACCCCGCGTCAGAGCTCGAGGCAAACTCTCTCCTCAAGCACCGGAGGTGGCGGTGCAAGTTCCATCGGCGGCAACGACACCAAATTCGGGAATACCTACGGCCTCAGCACTCAGTTCCTGGAGTCCCTGGGCATCAACGGTCCCCTAGTGACCCGCGTCTTCGTCGCCAATCTGGATTACAAAGTCGACGAGAAGAAGCTGCTGGAGGTGTTCAAATTGGCTGGAAAGGTCATCAACGTGGAGCTGGGCAAGGACAAGGACGGAAAATCCAGGGGCTTTGGGGTTGTCGAGTACGATCATCCGGTGGAGTCTGTCCAGGCCATCTCAATGCTGCACAATCAGCAGCTGTTCGACAGGAGAATGACTGTGCGCATGGATCGTGCTAACGATCCCGATTTGCCACCGAAATTACCAGAGGGCTTGAAGGGAATTGGAATGGGACTGGGGGCTGGGGGGAACAGGCTCACTGACGTCGCCAGGAACATTCCCAATGTCCAGACCAATGCCTCACCAGTTGTCAACCCAATCTCTGCCCCGGTACTGGCTACCAGTGCCTTCAGTGCTGGACTCAATAATGTCGTGCCTGCGCAGCTGGGTGAGTTGGGTTCGTTGATATGCTTTTTTTAGGATACTAGCGTATGGGGCGCCCTACGCGCGCCTTTACCCAGAGTATATATATTTATAAACTATGCGAAAGCTCAATCAAGGGATGTTTAACTCCATTTTACTATTATGACGGAGTTGTCAACATTGTTGATTGCAAGTTTCTTAACTTGCGAATTAAGAATTCACTCTGTCGTAGCACCAATTGATGTGAATGGGATTTTTATCTCTTATTTTTCAATAAATCACTGCTCATTGGCCTCGAGAACTTTCCATATTAACTAAAATAATAACTCAAATCGTATTTCGCGCTTAATAAATTCTTGTTAATAAATTCTTGCTGTCAAAACGACACATTTACCTTAGAGACTCATCATAAATTATTAAGAAATTAATTGAGTTTGAGTTAGGGGAGGGTGGGGTAAGATGGGCACTTAAGACTTTTTTAAAATCATTTATAACTCAGGAATAAATTTATCAATTCAGCTCAGTTTAGGCTCGTCACAAAGGGAAAGAATTGTTCTTTGCATTGAAGAAAATTTATTAAATTTCATCAACATTTCAACCCCTCATTAACATTAAAAAAAAGTCAAGTGTCCGTTTTACCCCAACCTCCCCTAATATTATTAACTTTAATTGACAACGGTTATTTTTAAATTCAATAAATAATAATATCGCGGTTAGAATATTCTCCACCACAAAAAATCCCCTGGAATTTTTTCAGTCCCTGAAAATCCTAACTAATTTTCTGATGTTCTTGACAGCTTCAGCCCTCTCGAATACCAATGCTGCAGCCCTCCAGGCAAGTCTCGCTGGTGGTCTGGGTGCCAATTTAACAACGAATTCCCTGCTGAATCCATCGCTGACATCAGAGTTGGCGTCGAATCTGAACAGTTTCAGCAACAGTGTCACTGGGCTGTCGAGCCTCCAGGCCTCCCTGGCGAGTAGCCAGGCCGCGAACTCGTTTGCCCCACGAGCCCTGGGAAAACTCGACTCTGACGTGTCTTTCGGTGGCACCAATGCCTTCGGAAGCTCGAATTATGGCAGCAGAAATGATTTCGATGCTTTTGCTCGCAGTGAGGCTGACAGAATTTCAGGGAACAGTGGTGTCTTTGCTGGGAATCAGAGCAGTGCTGGAAGTGGACAGAGACAGAATACCAATGGATCAAGACCAATGTCTGATACTATTCTCATTGGAAATGTAAGTGCCTTCTATTTTATGAAATTTTATTTCATTTCATTCCATTCCTCATCATTTTATCTGATTTTATTCAAATTAATTCCACTCAATTCCACTTGTTTTTTATTTTCTCATTCTATTGCATTTAGTTTATTTTTTTTTATTATTTAATTGAATTGAATTTCCGATTAATTTTGATTTTTTCATTATTTTTAATTGCTCGAGGTGACGGATAATATTGTCATGCTGTTAATTTAGTGAATGTTTATTCAATTTGATGATTTATGTTGCAGCTTCCACCAAACACGACGTGGCAAATGCTCAGAGACAAATTCCAGGACATTGGGGAAGTTAAGTTCGCTGAGATGAGGGGAAATGACTTGGGAATGATCAGATTCGCGTCAGAGTGGGATGCTGAGAGAGCAGTGTGTATCCTTTGATATAAAAAAATATGTCAAACATTTTTTTTCAGTTCTTTTAAAATTAAATGTTGGATTATCTCGTTAAGGAGTGGATTTCAGGAAAAAAGTCAAAAGAAATTTTTTGCGGAGGATTAAATTCCCTACAAAAAATGTCTTTTTACATTTTCTCCTAAATCTGCTCTGTATCGAGATAATTGACCATGAAAAAAGCCGTAAAATCCACTCCGCAGCTCCAGCCCATCATTCAACATTTTAATCTCCACTAGTAGATTATTTTTTCCTTAATTAATGATCTCCAGCAATGATGAACCGGTCCCGCATCGACGGCAGAACGATTGAGGTTCGCCTATACTAAACCTCCCAAATCAAGGTAATGAAAACAGTCTCTCGAAAAAAAAAGCAATTCCAGATTTTTATGACGCATAAATTCATTGATCCCCTGGGGCTTGTCCGATGGATTCAGAGCTCTCGATGGAATTCCAAGAAGATGCTGTTCTCTTTCTCCTCGACGACGTTTGGGGTTTTCTGACGTTCCAAGACGAAACTAAAACATTATTCCTGGCCTCGAGATTAATTCACAACATTTTTTGGATACAGGAGACGATAATTCATTGATCCGATGAATTCTTCGATTCAAGACAATTTGAGGTCGATTTTTCTGGTGGAAGAGGACAAGATAACTCACATAATAATGTCTCCAAGCGTCTACATCTATTTTTCATTCATTAATTTCGTGTTCCAGAGTGAATATTCGACGGTTGCTGTTCCGATAGGACATTTAGGGCTTCGTAATTTCGTTTTTACTCAAATTGTAAAAGATGTAGGACATTTGTATCTAGAGGTATCTATAATTTTAAGGTGTAACAGACATTTTGCAGATGAATGGAATGATTTATGAGTGCAGTAGTGAAGTTTAACGAATGTAGTCAATTTCACTGGATCAGTTTTTTGGGAGTATCTCGAGAACTGATGGAGATGGCGAAATTTTTGTGGAGAGCATTTTTCTAGCTCGTGTTTTTCTCGACAAGAAAGTTCTCACCAAAAATTTTGATATCTCCTTCAGGTCTAGAGATATTCACCAAAAACTAATTCTAAAATCTGAATAATTGAATTATTTTGGTTTTTTAGTTTTTAGTTTTTGGTGAATACTAATCTTTGAATTGACTAATGCATTTTCCCTTTGACTACTGGCTCGACAATTGTTTATTTCTGTGAACATTCTGACAGGTGTTGCTCAGTACTGAGTATCACATGGACAACGTTTTATTGAAAATTGTCAAGAGCAATTGATTCAACAAGAAAACCAAATCGTAGATTAGATTTGATGGTAATTCTTCTCATTCAGTAATGCTGATGAAAATTCGTGTCTATTATGATTGTCTGCTCTAGGTCGGAGATTACTATATTCAATTAAAATGTTTTATTGTCGATTTATATTCCCGTACTTAGGCACTTTATTTCACTCGAGGGTTTTGATCGATGGGCGACGAAGATTTAAGAAGACAAATTGAAGAGGAAATGGTCTGGTTTGGCTCCACTCAAGTCTGGGCTTTCTCTGATGGATTTCCATGTTTTTTTTCTCCACCTGCAGTGTTAATCAAATTAATTAATTTGTCCATCAATAGCGTAATCAACGCAGTCTTGTATTGAAAAATAATCTCTTGTAATAACCGATGAATTTCATACAGTGAATAAAATTGAGACTCAATTTGACTAAGATGAATATTTTTGTGCATGGGTCGTTATTTTGTGTTTTTATTAATTCTCTCTTCGGCAGAATGTTATTTGTATTGGATCGGGCTGAGGGAGAAGATAATTCCAATAAGTGAATGTCGTTTGAATCAACGAAATACTTTTCTGATGATTACCAAGGTAGAAATTGTTTCATTTGAGCATTAAAAATTTCCAAACATGAATAATAAGATGATTCAATGAATTGTGGGTCTCATCACTTTGAGAATCAGCATTCTGGGAGTAATTTCCCATCCTCTGGTGACGATAGATTAACTGATCAAAATATCTGATCTGATGATGAAAATTTTGATAATACTTTGTTCATGTTTCTCTCGATTGACGAAACGTTTGGCTCAAGAGGCTGATCATTCGCGGGGAGACCGTGGCATTTCAGCATTAAATATTTCGTTCGAAGTCACAGGGTTGCTATCACATCCTCATTGTTATTCTACTTAAAGTTTCATTTCTTGCATTTGAGGATTGAATAGACTTTTGACAAACAAATAGCAATCTCGTTGAATCATTCGCACAAATTTATCGAGCACTGTTAATGGAATAATTGTTCATCCCAGGGCACTTTTCAAATGCTTGAGACTTGGTAATTATCATGTGAATTTTTTTTTTTGGAAGTGACACAGTTGTAAATTAATCAGTTCAGTGGCAGAATTACTAAATTTTCTGAAAAAACCGAAAGCAACTCATTTTCCTCAGGATTTAATCGTCCCGATAGGGAGTGGGACGAGAAAATTTCAAAGGAAATTTTTCGCTGGAAATTGAAAGACATTTGAAATGTTCTCCTGGAGAATTTCAAAAGTTTTTCTCTTGAAATTTTGTCCTGGAGCCACTCAGGATCAATCAACATTCATAGAAATATCGAAATTGACTGGTTGTTCACCACTAGATCATCTCAATTTTTCGGATCAATCAACAAAGCTATAGAATCGATGATCACTTCCACGAAGACTCAATCCTCGAATCCGAAAAAATCTGGTCGTTGAACTCGATGATTTTCGAATTGAGATAATCGTCTCCATTAGCTATGGTAAGTGTGTTTTTCTCATTGTTTCAGTAGTTATCGTTGACAAATTATTATCAGTTAATAAAAAAAATACCGCCTTCGACCGACAGGTGGGCTCGACGACTCCCGACTAATTACGATCTCTCGTACATGTCGTTTTGTCACTCGACTACTCAGTGGGTCCATTTCTTCGAGTGTCTTTCCTCAATTTTAAACACGAGTCGTCATTAATTCATTATTTCATCCCTTTAATTGGGCTTTAAAGTCACTGGATTGGACTGTTCATTTGCCAATCACTTCGATGGTCTATTAATTATCGTGAATCACAAATGAATGATTAAATTAAGTTAATAAATGATTCAATAAATGTTTATATTGCAGAGGGGGAAATGGTAAGTCTCTGAATTCATAAATTAATTGAAGATTCACGTTTTATCATTGTCATTCCAGGGGATCTCCAGGATCATCCGCCTGTTAAGTCCGGTATGATATCAATTTAACGCACAAAAGACTGTAAAAAATATTTTTTACGAGATTTGTATTTTTTTTAATAGAGAGAAACTGGAAAAAACGAGTTCGTGTTCATTATTTGATGAAAAATGTCTTCAGAAGGGTTTTGGTTTTTTAAAAATGAGATTATTATCTGGTATTTAAATCCCTTTATTACATTAATCACTAATATTTATCACAATCCACATGAAGGAAATCAGTCCTGTGCCAGCTCAATGAGAAAAAACATTTGTCGATTCGTCTTCGTGATATAAAACAGTGCATCACCCAGTCTTGGCTCGCGTTCAATGATCTTTCACTCATAAATTCATTGATTAATCTGCAGGAGGGGCTTTACACTCGTCAAACATGAAAAACATCCAGTTAACATCATCGAAATGTCATCAATCGATTGAGATGGACGAGGGGATTGAGGGAAACTACTTTGATGTTAGCACATTGAGTTATTTAATTGACGACTGCAGTGATGAGTTCATGGTAAAATGAAGGGTCAATTAATGTTGAGGATGGGGTGGAGTAAAATGAGGTTGAATCTTGGAAAAGTCAATTCTTAGTCTAATTCCCAATTATAATCAAAAAATAGGTATTTTCAGCAATTCAATTTCATTCATTTTGGTAAATCGTTGATTATCTCGGTAATACAACATTTAGTTCAACTCATTTCCTCGAAACTTCTAGAAACTCCTTGAATTCCCTCGAATTATTTGGAAACTCCCAGAGTTTCCTCGAAATTTCTACAAACTCCTTGAATTTTTCCGAATTTTTTATAAACTCCCTGAAATTCCTCGAATTTTCTATAAACTCCTTGCATTCCCTCGAATTATCTGGAAACTGCCTGAGTTTCCTCGAAATTTCTACAAACTCCTTGAATTTTTCCGAATTTTCTATAAACTCCCTGAAGTTCCTCGAAATTTCTAGAAACTCCTTGAATTCCCTCGAATTATCTGGAAACTCTCTGAGGTTCCTCGAAATTTCGACAAACTCCTTGAATTTTTCCGAATTTTCTATAAACTCCCTGAAATTCCTTGAATTTTCTAGAAACTCCTTGCATTCCCTCAAATTTTCTGGAAAATCCTTGAATTCCCTCGAATTTTTTATAAACTCCCTGAATTTCCTCGAATTTTCTAGAAACTCCTTGCATTCCCTCAAATTTTCTGGAAAATCC